AGATAGTGACAATCGCCGTTGCCTCTTCATCGTATCTGCCTATGCTCCCACTGACTGCAGTTCAGACGAGGTTAAGGATGAGTTTTACAGAAAGCTTTCGGAACTCCTCCAAAAAGCTAGGCGCTCTGATATAGTAATAATGGCTGGTGACTTTAATGCTCAAGTAGGTAGACTAGGTGAAAAGGAAAGACATCTAGGTGGATGTTATGGTGTCGCGGCTCAGAGAACAGACAATGGTGACCGTCTGTTGCAAGCATGCTCAGACAACCGCCTATTCATAGCAAACACTAACTTTAGGCATAAGGAAAAGCATCTGTTGACCTGGCGACCTCCAAAGTCGTCTCAACGTTGGACTCAACAAGATCACATCGCCATCAGCCACCGATGGAGGGGTACGATAGAGGACTGTCGCTCGTTCTGGAGCACATGTCTAGATTCAGATCATGCCCTAGTGCGAGCGCGTATTTGTTTGAAGCTTACTGGGCGTAGGAAAGACACCGTAAAAAAGCCTCTTAGGGTTTTACTTAATGATAATAAGGCGAAGAATATATTTCAGGAGCAACTAGAAAGACAGTTATGCGACCATCCGGAAGCAGGATGGAATGATAGACAACTTTTCCGACTTATCAAGGAAACTGGTATTAGGAATCCTAGTGTAAGTGAGACTATCTCAGAAAATGACGGGACTATTATTTATTCTCAATCCAGGAGACTGGATCGATGGGCAGAACACTTTAGGGATCAGTTTAACTGGCCTCCAGCCACTCTTCAGTTACCCACGATCTCCAGTCATCCTGAATGGCAAATCGACGTAAGTCCCCCTAGTCTTAATGAAGTTGAAAAAGCGTTCGGAAATCTGAAGCGAAGACGAGCTGCAGGTCCTGATAGACTGACCGCTGAGATATTTAAGGATGGTGGTCCAGTTTTAGCAGCTAGATTGACTGAGATCTTAGGTAGAATCTGGGAACTGGACGTAATCCCATCCGACTGGTCTCAATCACTGATTGTCCCAATCTATAAGAAAGGACAGAAGTCTTCTTGTGGCAATCACAGGGGAATAAGTCTAACTAATATAGTATCTAAAATATTGGCCTCAATAATACTTCGACGCTTAACGAGAGCTCGTGAAGAGCAAACTCAAGAAAACCAATCTGGTTTTCGACCTGGACGTGGTTGTATAGACCACATCTTCACACTACGACAGGTCCTGGAACACAGACACACATTTAGGCGTCCTACAATAGTTGTTTTCCTGGACCTTAAGGCGGCATTTGACTCTGTGGATCGTGAGGTTCTGTGGCAGTGTCTGTCATTGAAAGGTGTACCAAATAAGTACATTAACCTCATACAAGCTCTCTACTCAAACACCACTGGTCGAGTGAGAGCTTATGGCGAACTGTCACCGTAATTCTCTACTTCAAGTGGTGTCCGTCAGGGATGTCCACTTTCTCCATTCTTGTTTAATTTTATCATAGACATGCTCCTAGACATAACCTTATCCTCGTCTGAATTTTCTGGAGTAGACCTTTTACCAGGTGGCTCGCTTATTGACTTAGAATATGCCGATGACATAGTCCTACGTGGTGAAGACGCTGACGAAATGCAGAGTCTTCTGACTACCCTAAGCAACAATGCAAGGATGTTTGGGATGCGGTTTTCCCCCTCGAAATTCAAAATGTTGCTTCAAGATTGGGTTTCATCGGCACCTGAACTAGTGATAGGGAGTGAAGTAGTCGAACGTGTAGACCGCTTCACTTATCTTGGGAGTCTCATCAGTGCTGATGGCCTGTTGGCTGACGAAATCTCGGCACGGATACAGAAGGCTCGATTGGCTTTTGCCAACCTGCGTCACTTATGGCGTAGGCGAGATATCCGTTTGCTAACTAAAGGACGAGTGTACTGCGCAGTGGTTCGCTCCGTCTTACTTTATGGCTGTGAAACATGGCCAATGAGAGTAGAAGATACTCGTCGGTTATTGGTTTTCGATCATAGGTGTCTTCGAAGCATTGCTCGTATATCGTGGGACACCCGAGTGAGCAACGCTTTTATTAGGAAACGGGTGCTAGGTAAGAATGGCAGATCAATCGATGAAGTGGTGAAACTTCATCAGTTGAGGTGGTTGGGACACGTGTTGCGTATGCCTAACCACCGACTACCTCGTCGAGCTTTGTTTTGTAGTGTAGGAATAGGTTGGAAGAAAGTTAGGGGCGGCCAAACCAAAACATGGCATAAATCCATGAAGTCATTGACGAGTGGACTTAGCCATGTCGGTAATTGTCGACTAGCTGGTTGGGGTCCGCGAGATCATAATAATCGATGGCTAGAGACCTTGAATGACATGGCTCAAAATCGTTCGCAATGGCGCCAGTGCATTTATTCTTTGTGTTCTCTCAAATCCTAATCTTCTGGGTTCTTCAACGCTTCTAGTTTTTACTTTCTAAACTTATCTCATTGAATCATACTTCTTGAATAGTATCTTCTAACCCTAACCTCTCCGATTACTTCTAATTCCCTTACTACCTCTTCTACTATTGGATTTGAATTGAGAATTATATCTCTGTGCTGATGTGGTATGGCGACATGAACTGATGTACTTACGTACGAAGTTCTACGTTGCAACTGACTGACTGACTGACTGATCTTCGTCTGACATTTCAGAAATTATCCTTCTACCAAGAGACTCACTTGTTGACTTACATTATGCCGATGACATAGTTCTACTTAGAGAAGAGGCTGACAAACTGCATTCTTCTGACTATCCTAAGCAACAATGCAAGCATGCTCGGAATGTGATCCTCTTCGTCAAAATGCAAAATGTTGCTTCTCGATTGGTTTGTATCGGCACCTGAACTAGTGATAGGGAGTGAAGCATTTGAGCATGTTGACCACTTCACTTACCTGAGGAGTATCATCAGTGCTGATGGCCTGGTGACTGACGAAATCTCAGCACGGATAGAGAAGGCACGATTGGATTTTGTCAACCTGCGTCACTTATGGCGTAGGCGAGATACCCATCTGCTAACCAAAGGACGAGTGTACTGCGCAGCAGTTCACCCCATCCTACTTTATGGCTGTGAAGCACGGCTGGTCAGAGTAGAAGATATTCGTTGGTTGCTGGTTTTCGGTCATAGGTGTCTCCGAAGCATTGCTTGTGTATCCTGGGACAGCCGAGTAAGCAAAGCTGTTGTTAGGAAACGGTTCCTAGTTAAGAGTGGCAGATCAGTAGATGAAGTATTGAAACTTCATAAGTTGAGGTGTTCGGACATGTGTTGCGTATGCCTAACCACCGACTGCCTCGTCGAGCAATGTTTTGTGACGTGGGAGGAAAGCTAAAAGCGGTCAAGCCAAAACATTTCACAAATCCATGACGACAATCAATCAACATTACCTAAAACTTCGTACGTCTACCAATATGACTCAGTCTGTCTCCGTTGCTTTCGCTGCTCACCACTGTTGGCGATCATTGTGTAGAATTCTTATCATCCCCCGCCTAAGCTTACTCCACTGTTTATTGTACGTGGAGCCAGACGGGATGAGTTTACGAGCATCTATCAGTCCGGTTGAGGCAACTGAAATCCGCCGCTTCTCCCTAACCTCATGGTTAACCTTACTAGAAGATATCACTGCTGTTTCCACAGCTTTTCGGATATCATTCCAAGCTGCCTCAGGATGTAGTTCACTAACATTGCGGCCCAACTCTTTTTCTGGTTTTGCCTAAAATATATTCTTAGCTTTGTTATCATCAAGTAGAACACTGCATGGTTTCCTTGCGATATCTTTTATTCCCGAAATCTCAGATAACAGGAAATAACGCCCATAGGTTGGTTCAAAAATTGACTTTTCACAGAACTTAGAAGTTCCGGACTAACTAAGCGTGTGTGTGATGTCTCTAGACGTAATAAGGATGGAAAACACTCAAACCTGGATTATTTGTCGAAACATTATCGGGACACGGTCGAGAATATATGAGTTCATACACCATGACTGAGCCATGGTCACTATCTGTTTATCCAAGAACGTAATAAATGTATAGCATACAGGATATTCCATATATAAAAATCAGTGAGCTTACACTTTCCCTTAACGACAATATCAAATATTGATATACGTTGCGTATGATTCTAAACCTAGAGCCGTTCAAAAACAACATGAAGCGAGAATAATCTCCTTACATGCATTCATATTCATTATATATATTGAACCTGCGATTTTTGCGTACTTCCAGGTTCGATTCTTTCGTCGTTCTATCTATACTATATATATACTACCAGTACTTCCTCCCGAAACTCCTAGTCGCGTATTTTACTCTCTCTTTTATCTCGTTTTACATCTCTTTATCTCTTAGGTTTAGTGTCAAGTAACAAGGTTGCTAGCATATCTGACTTTAAAACAACCACGAACACCCGCAGGTGTATGAACTCTGGGGTTAACAGTGGGTCGAAAATCCCAGTATTGCTCGACAGGGTTGTGGAAAAACTCGAACTTTCAAGCGAAAGAATTACTTAGAGTAGTGTTCATAGTTCGGATTGCTCAACCCAAACACCTTCAGTAGGTCTAAAACAGACAAACCAAGACATCACTACTCCAAATCCTATTCCTTAAAAGAACAGTGGGCTAGATAATTACAGGAGAAAAATTCGTCCCAAGGTTCAGTCGATACAATTTGTCGTACAGAAACCACAGAATAATGACTAGATCACCTGCTCAGTCCCAGTCAAAATCAAAGACTCTGATTTTCAATACGATTTCTGCATTACATAAGTCTATTGTCACTACGACACTTCAGTAACTCAAGAGTACTATGGATTCATGTTGAGTCACGTCTGCTCGTGGTTCCAGTATATCTGCCCACTGCGTAGAGTATCTAAGGCATTTGCAAAGCAACTGTAATGTTTGGTTAATAGCAGTTCCTGTGAATCTATTAGATATTATGTTTTCGGAAATGTTATTGGTTATTGGACTCGTTTGTACATGGCAAAAGTCATATTTTCAGTGTGAATGTAAGCCCCGCGGTGTACGGATTTTTGATTTCCTGGTAATTAAAGTATAATGCATAAAAACGTTCTTTATAAAAGTTTATTTGATCAATCGGCATTTTTTGAAATACTCTTTTTGTTTTGAAATCAGTTGTTTGGAGGATAACATTCATTGACGAAAGTGGCATCCGTATATATTTTAAGAAACAAAAATTACCGAGCACACAAAAGTCTATGTGTATAAACTAGCCTTGTAATGATATAATGAATGGGATTACAAAAATAATGTATTGAATTTTTAGAACAGTTTTAGTATAATTTTGGAATAGTTTAAGGTACATGCGTGATACTAACACTAATTAGACTTGATTCAGGCACTCGAATCTTAACCCTTTGAGACGGATTCAAGACATCAGTGTTTCCGGGTACCAGCAGCTATCACATTACCGGTCGGAGATCAGTTAGTTGCAGTGTGACAAATAATAAGGAGACAATTCTAATGCTAGTATGAAGATTTCAGAACTAAGTAAATAAATAGATAATTTAGTTTATTAATTGGTATTGAAGATTGTGAGAGCGGACCGAAGTGTAAGCAGATAATTGGCGAGATAGATTAAACTGGCGGTCTGAGCAGAAGGCAATAATAACAACAAGCGAATCTCAAGACATGCACCAGGCACAGCTTGTCCACGGGGGAAACAACAGTCCTCATGTGAGTGTGTGTCTATCAAGTCTCTTCCTAGAGCTGTCCACTGAGGGACTGTGGTCACCTCGGCTGACAGACCGTTCCAAGTTGCAACGACACTTAATAACAAAAAGTGTGCACGAACCTGACTATCCTCTCGCTGGCGCGCGATTTTTGAGGATCGCTTCGAGGCGAGTGATGGTGATGCACCAGTAAAGTGCTCACGTTGGGATGGTTTGGCGTGCTTAACCTGCTGCACGCTATAATCAGATCACTTCTGATTCTCCTGTAATTTAAGGGAAATGATCCGATATGTTGGAGTCCGTCTTCGTGAGTTTTATTTTTCAACCCTATCACCTTTTTCGCCGTTCGTCTCTGCACTCGGTCCAAGAGATTTATCTTTCTTTGGAGGGGAGGGTGTGCGACGACGTTGTGAACCTCAGGGTGTGGGCCTGCATAAGTCTTAAACAACGTTCGGAATAATTCAGGGGTCAGTGCACAAGTTGTCTTCACATGAAGTGAGGGGTTGCATTTGCCTTGAGTGAGTCCCTCATCTTGTTAAATCTGGCGTATTAGCTTTCAGTGGTTATTAGACCGAGATCGAGCTCTGAGTAGATACTGGGTAACTCACTTCTGTTTAGGGTATTTAAGAAGTTTCTCAAATGCTCTGTTTTCTTTTCTTTTCGAGGTTTAGCTTCAAACCGTGCTACTTTTGTTCCGCCTAATGAGTATTGTAGGCATAGGTAATTAGAGTAAAAGCAGCATTGGATAACTATGTGATCGTCAATTATTTTCGCAGGGTTGTGAGGCAGAGTAAATGCTAATTTTTCTTCTAAAAAACTTAATATATCACATTTCATCATGACAAGCGCCTCAGTGAACTGCTTATCACATGATAAGTTGTATTGTACTATAAAAAATCTTGGTTACTGTTTATTAAAATGATTTGTTGCATATAATCTACAACTGATTTGAAAAAGGATATGTAGTATTTTGAAACGCGGTCAAACAATTTTGAACGATGGATAGATAAAAAAAATGCTATGATAATTAACGTCTTACCATAAGCTGTCTATAAATATGATTCTACGATCTCAAGCTGAGTCATTTATCGTATAAAGCAACTTTATTAACCTTGCTGACTACTGAGCTTTGAGCTCAACTGAAGTAAAATGAACTCGAAAGCGCATAAATGTCTCTCCTTATTAAAAACCTTAAACCCCTGACACATTCATTTTGGTCACTATAAAATATATGTGTGCTAAAATAAGACCAAATTACCTTTTTCGGTTGTAACTATCACAGGAAAAATAATTCTATGTCGTTGTAAGTGAAAGAAAGCCTTTTAACTTTTCTGTACTTTATGTTTATTTTTAGCTCATTTGTATTTAAAACACTGAACTTTGTCCCTATATGATAATGAAAAGTAGTTAGTACCAACAACTGACCAATTCGTACTCTAGTAACCATGTATGCATTAGTATTACAGTGTGAGTTAAATTCTTGAGCGAACTAGAAAGTAATATATTTGGTACTTAAGTTAGCTGCGGAATAAAATACAAAGGACCGATCGTTGTATTATTTCCAATATGAGTCTTTCATCTAATACTTATAGTGTGTGAAAGTGTAGTGCCTCCACATAAACTTGAGTTCGCTCATATTGAATTTGATTAAGCCTTTCGTTTAACTTATGTAACCAAGCTATTTGTATAACAACAACCCATATGTACCATTGGTATTTTTTATTGTCTGGTTTGTATGAGCTTGTACGACTCAGCATTGCTTACGCCCACGCGCTTCCTTATCCGATTCACTTTAATATTAATCTCTTAAATACCTCGATGACCCAGATATCTTCCAATGTATATATACGAACTTTTTAATCCTATTAATTCATTCGCACATTCGCTCGCTAGTGTGCCTACCTGGTCTGCTTGTGTTCTGTTATCCCATTTTTTGATGTGCCAAAATAAATGTATTCAACACTTTGAGTTCACCTCCTAATTTATAGACCGTTAGACGCTATTTAGTAATGATTGTCTGTACGAGCTAATTACGAAGATTATGAACACGTCGAAATCGGCCACCACAAAGGCGACACTAATCATAATAAAGGTGATAGTTATAATAATCACGAGAAATAGTTATTGTAAGCCGATTACACTACATCTGGCATTTATATCTGATAAATAATCACGGGTTAATGTTATCTAAACAAAACGAACCTTTTGAGATAATTTTAAGATAAGAGTACAAGTTTAATTACCAATTTTTGTTAAATAAATATATATAACGAATTCAACCACTTCCCTTGAGGGTTATCCTAGAAATCTATATATGAAAACCATAGTAAGCACTATTTTGGGTTGAAATCTACTTAACACTTATCAAGTTCAAATAGTTTATTACTTTTTGGATACCACTGTAGTCATAAATATTTTTTTTAAAGTTATTGTTTTCATAGGCCTACTTTATACCTTCAGATAGGTTTATTCTCCTCGCAATCACCTTTGGTTACAAATTAAACTTTCATCTGTTCACTGGGGAATTTTCCAAATGCAAAATATATTGTGAAATGATTGAGAATTATTTGACGATCACTATATAATAATCTATTATGACAGAGAATGTTCGATTAAATGATCTACAAATTTCTAGTATAGTTTATGTTAAATCACGGACGCCCTAGATGTATATTGTCGAATTTCGCTACCTTTATTTACCTTGACATAGTTAACTTCAATCTTTGTAAATTGTGAAAGCCAAACCTAAAGCGTTCATTGACTTCGAATTCAAATGAATGTTATGTCATCCTATGTACAAAACACGTAATTTCTTGCTATATAACAGGTTTTGAAAATTGCTTTGAATAAAATTTCAGGAATTCATAGCCTTCATTCAAGATAAATAACGTGAGTAAAATGAGTAACCCAAGTAACTTACTCTATTGTTAAATGCAATAACCTTAAATATTTTCAAAATATTTAAGTTTTATTGAATCACTGCTCAGTTTCAAGCTACCAAACTGGAAGCATGTACAAGTGTACTGGATGATATTTTTTCGCAGTTTAAAAGACAAGAAATGTATTGCGTGTTAATGTCCGTATAGTTTTACTTACTCAGTAAATGCTACCCACTAAAAGATTTACATACAAAAGTACAGTAAGCTCTCCAATAGAAATGTTCTTACGAGACTTCATAGCGTTTTTGTTATAACAGTGAGAAGACGTAATTGATCTGAAAAATGTGATGTATTTGCGCCATACATTTCGAACAATCTGGTCACATACATCTACTCTTGTTAAGGCATTTTCTATGAAGATTAATAAAACGTCAATTAAATAAAAATTTGAATAGACAAAGTGATAAGTGTTAATAAAGGAGAGAGAAAATTAACGTAATATCAAAAGAATAAGAAAGGGTGGGAAATTGTCACGTTACGTCTTCTCAATAATCTATCAAAATTTATAAAAGGGACTAATTGTTTTAAATTTCATAGTATATTAATTTGTTATTAATTTCAAAATGAAAAGTTAACAAGGTGTTGAAAGAGTTTATAAAATTAAAATTTTTTCATTTAAAAGGTATACAAAATGTTTCTCGTGACTTTGTTGTTGAAAAACTGGTTACACATTCAGTCGATATAATTTACGTATAAAATTTTTGATCGAGCATAAAATTTTCGATTACCTAATTAACCAATATTTTACTTTGAAAATATAACGACGTCATTCATTTCATTAAATTTTAAATAATAAATTCTAGATTAACAACATTTGCCAATAAGTTTTTTTATTATGTCGCGCCTATTTCAAGCCAGTCTAACTTTTCTGGATTATGTCAATCAATGTTTTAGGATCTTGGAATGTCAAGGAACACAAATGTTGTCCAAACTTTGAGTGGTACTTGTATCTTCTACCAGGCTTCTTCACTAAAGCAAGGGGTTAAACTTCTGAACATATAAAAGAAGATGCTTACAAGATCTAAAAGAATCAACAGTTTTCTAGATGGCCGTACTTTCCTGTAAAATCATTGAATATTTTGTCAGTCTTGTGTTTTCCAAGCTAGATGATCTCACTGCCAAACTTTCATTATTGTTAGACAGTATTATAAGTGCCCATTTCATGTAGAAAGGAACAGTTTGGTTATATAAAAAACACATGATTAGCCTATCCTGATAGCTTTGTCTATATCTAGTTGTCTTCTGTGGTTTAATCTACGTTATTTGTATTCGTATCATTGTTAACTGCTTGACCTATAGTCATGTGATTTGTTAACTTTCTATTTAATGATTGGTAAATAGTTCAGCGCCTATAAAACTATTGGGTACACTGAACTAACTGATGAGTTATTAGAATATTTTCTTCATTCTCTAAATTTTTTGACGCAAAACCTTAGCATTTTTCTTGTTTTTGTGCACGAATGATAAAAGAGGCAAGACATCACTTATTTTATTACCAGTCTGCATACATAAATGAGATTAGTTCAACTTGTTTGGTAGATATTGTATCTATATACTTTTGCTGTTATACCTTGTGGTCTGCTTAAGATAGGATAAAGTTTTTATGTTGGCTAATACATGATTGTCAGTTGGTAGTCCTTTAGACTCAATGTTGTAATTCTTGGAATCCTTGTTTGTTTTCTTTTTCGTTAGGGATACTTTCGCTACTACATGTTGGCTATATTTCTTTGTCTGGAAAGTAACCACTTTAAATAGGGACAGACAAGCAATATTTTACTATAATTTCTCGATCAGCGAGAGTCCTGGAGTTCGTTTCAGCTCTCCTAAGTAATGCCTGTACTCAATTTTTATACCATTCATGTTGGCTTGTCACTGCTGTACTTTAATATTAGATCTATGTGGCTTGCATAACTGCAACTGTAAAATTCATGTATTTGTTTCATTCTTGCTTGCATAAATGTTGTCTCATTCAAATATATTTTGTAGACAAACACTCTTCAGTTGATTGAAATGTGAAAATTTAAAATGAACAATTACAGAATACAAACAGACGTCTAAAACAACTCATGTCATCTTATCACTCGTATAGTGGTGTTGCTTATACAAACCAAAGTTCAATAGCGAGTGTCTCTGCTGATCTGATTACACACCGTGGTGTTTGGCGTAAAATCATATCAATAATCGTTTTCACAGGATTTTTGATCACAGCATGGGCTACTATTGTACTACATGCAATAAACTTTTCAAATGAAAGTATTTTAGAGTTATCTGTTTCAGTTTCTATATTAATTGCCGGGCAATATATAAGTGAGTGAATAATTGCATAGTTCATACATGTATATATATATATATATATATATATATATATATATATAATATTAAAGTCAGGTCAGTGTTATTCAGGCACTACGTAGAGCTATGCTTGTGTACGTTTACAATAAACGTGAATAAGTTTTGAATCATTTTTCTTTATTTTATTCGTAAGAATTTGAACCTTTGCGACGTTGCTATTGAAGACTGTAATCGATCATTCACTTTTAACGCATTTGGATCGGGAGAGGATTATTTTGATATGTTCATTAAGTTTAATAGTGGTTAGCAGCAGAATCTGCGATGCTTGTTTCTAACTGTTCGCGTCCCGTCAGCTGAGTATACCACGTTCTCAGTGTTCAAATCAGATCAAGATGTAGATAGCCCGAAAAAGACTGTTAATTTACAGACCTTAACAAAAAATAACAAAGGAATGACTAGAAAATTTACAAGTAAAGTAAAGTTCACCCGAGCTGCATAATCTAGTAGCTATTTAAACTCAGCAGCTAGATAGATAACACTTTGAGCGTTTGAAATCAAAAGTCTTAGGTTCCAGTTCTTGAGTGAATATCACCAATAGTATGCAAGTACATCCGGATGACGAGGACCTAATCGAAAAAAAATGAGAACCTTTTATTTCACTGATACCCATAATCCATCTATTCACTTTACTTAAACTTTAAACGGTTGGTGCTCTATGCATTCATACTACTTTAAATACCGTGACTTAAAAAAATTTCACTTTATCAATTTTTTTTTTTAATTTTAAATAAAAGTAACAGGAATCGTGGATGGTATCATTTATTGGAGACGTTGGAATGCATCAAGTCAACGTCAACGAACAAAAATGCAAGAACAAAATAAAGAAGCATGGGTACTCATGCGAATCACATTGACCGTTTTAGGGATGGCTCCCATAGCAAGGTAGAATAACCTTTAAAATATCTAATTTAACTCATGCTCAAAATGTCTTACTGTTGAGCAATACTCTTTGATGACATAAAAATTTTTGAATTCTCCTTTTCTTATCAAATTATACTCTTTTATGTTTTGGTCTTTTTACTGTCACAGTTCAACACTTTTGTCAGATACACAGACAGACAGATACAACGCAGAACTTCGTACGCAAGTACATCAGTTCAGGTTGCCATACCACATCAGCACAGAGGTGCAACTGTCAGTTCAAATCCAAGAATGATAGTGAAGCTGCTACCTTGACTTGGTGGCCGGGCTTGCCTTTCGTGATGACCCAACCGAGCTATATTGGCTGGAACTTATGTTTCTGAAGGTTCTACCATGCCAGGCAGGTCAATTGGAGAACGATCAGATTAAAAACAGCTACTCAAAGTCTGAGGGCGAACCCTAAACAAGAGCGGAGCTAACGCTCAAAAAACCTCTCATAAAAAGCGGGGCATAAAAAAAACCTTTCATAAAAAGGCCGTGCGTGACCGGCCTCAAGCAGTTGTCCCTTGGGCTCTGCGGTCACGCTGCCAGGTCTCTAAGACCGACATTAATTTACCTTTTTTTTCAGGTGCATCAAGAAACAACCTTCCACGGTGTGGGCAGCCGGGAAGTGACAACCGCCCTCATACCCGTAACAGCACGCGAGACCAAATTGGTCGAAATCAAATCCTTCCCACACCCCCTAATACCTCTCTTCTTTATCATATACTCTATTGATCTAATCTCATTGTACTAATGTAGAATGACAAAGTGTGTCTATACAAACTTTTATCGGGTCTTATGTTATTTATAACTGATTTACTTTACAATTGAATAGTCTGTTTGAATAATTCGGAAAGTTATCGACAGTACAAGCAAATAAGGTGTATTTTGTAACTTCAAGATAACTGTGACCTTCAATAATTACTACTGTAATTAAAAAATTGAAAATAATTTTAAAACAATAAAGAATGTCAGATGATATACTTTTTTGTTGAATAACTATCATCAAGATTATGAGTTATCTGCGCCATTAAAATAACATTGTGTAACCAAAAATATTTCCAGAATTCCATTCAATAATGAGAAATTTTAACCGAATTTCAACTCACTTATGATTGAATTCACTTAAACTGAACTAGAAAAAATGTACATATATATACATGAGTTGTCATTGCACATAAATTCCTGTTTACCAATAGGCTTTCTTTTCTAATACATCTATCTATACACTAAATATGTTAGTTTTAATTAGAACTGCTTAACTATTACGTAACATATTTAAACAAGTCGAATAAATTTTCACAAATCATCGAATCGATTTTCTTTGTGAATGATAACAGAACGTTATTATTGATAAATAAATATACATACAATATCACATTTAATTTAAATGAAGTTTTAGAAATTCTTTCAAAACCTGAATTGTCTAATTAAATATTCATTTTGGTGCGCACACTAGAAATATGTAAAAGTAAATAAATAAATAAGTAGTGAAATTTGAATAAGTTTGTTGAATCATCTGTGGTTATTCAATAAACAAGCACAAAGCGCATGAGTTAAATTTGAGAGTTCAAAACATGTACACATATATATAAACAATGAAATGGTCACCTAAGTATTAGGTAATATCATGTGTAATATTATATAGTCCTTTGGTATTACAACACGAAGTCGAGCTATCAAATTAAGGGTATATCCATCAGTTTAAATTACCCAAAATAATGTCTCATGTCTTGAAAGGTTAGATTTGACTGACATACATTTATATATATATATTATAGGAACTTGAAACCACTATTCTTATTTTCAACAGATTTTTAATAAAAGAAAAATCACAAGAAGCCTACAATATGTTTACCACTAATCAATAAGATCTATTAAAGTATCTGTGAAAATTTGTGATATATAATAATATCAGATTGATAGGACATTAGAGTGATAGTTGAATTGCTCAATTTTCAATCAGTGAATTTCGTTTACTGGTATAGATAATATGATTAGCATCTATAGTACTTTTCACAACAACTATGGGTCAGTTTTACTATGTAAACTTCCAAAATAAAATTAAAACTTTTGAAACAACTGGATAACTCACTTTTATGTAGATATATTGATTAGAAGTAAAAATATGTTTTAGTAGAATCTAAGCTGGTTATTTTAATTACTTGAATACATTTGACACAGTTTGAAAGAAATCAAAATGAATACTCCTGAATAATTTTATAACAGGATTAAATAAATGCCGGCCCAGTGGTCCAATCGTTAGGCGTTCGCGCACAATACCGAAGGTCCCGGGTTCGAACCCTGTCAGGTGCAGGAGTCGTGGATGCGCATTGCCACTGATGAGTCCCATACCAGGACGAAACGACCGTCCAATGCTTTCAGGTTTCTAATGGTCGTCTAAAAATCATTGATTGATGATTTCAAATGTGTAATACTACTCGAATCGACTGACCGTTGCTCAAAATGTACACATCTTCATCGAATTTGTTCAAATACAATCTTTCATTTGAAAAATAGAAAATAAAAAAATTAAACCATCATAAATGTGCATGTTGTAAAGTTGGTTGTCAATATCAACAAGAAATAAACAGTATATTTCAACTGATTATTCATCAGTTGCACAGATGTGTCAGCGCAAGGCAGTTGGAGGCCAGACTGTTGCAACGGCTGCTGGTTAGTGCACTGCTGAGTGGCTCGGTAATCCGTTCCGGGATGCCAGATCTAGCTGGCAAAGCCCGCTTTGCCGATTGGAGATTGTGGGTAATGGATTGATTGGAGGGTTCGAGTTGATTCATAAGTGCCCGAACGGGGGCCACTGCTCGTGTGCGTGCTTTTTGGACGTCCACTTGTCTGCAGACCAATCAAGACAACATGTGCGTTCCCTTATGAGGCAAGGGTGGTCGCAAAATTGACTTTTGTGAGAATCCTTGTGTTGCCTAAAAAGCAGCGGCGTGCATGTGGAGCAGACTTGTTGGTTAACCAAAAATACAGATGTACTTAAGTGGTAGCAATAAAAAAGTACTCAGCGTTTACCTCCGTATGTTAAAACCAGAACAAATATGAATTTCATCAAAGCTATCATTATACTTTATTGATAAATGCTGTTCAAATAGGCAACTTTTTTACTGACTAATTCTGAAATTGACATTTGAATATAATTCTCATTAAATTAATTTGATATGTAAGAAATTAACAATACGAAATTACCACTCTCTTACCGGGGGTATTATTGATCGAAATCTTCCAGTAAAATTATTCAAATTCTATCTTACTGGCAAAACTGAACAAAATTACTATGTTAGACAAGTGAATATCTCTTTAATTTAGAATAGAGAATTCTATCTACGTAGTATTTGTAATTGCGTAAATTATTTTTCTCAAATTTTTCATTTTCATTTGAATAGAATCCATAGTTTCTAAACAATTTGAATTTTTCGCTAATTCTGTATGACAATTTCAATAAATTAATAAAATGTCTACAATGATTTTTTTTATGTTCACTTCAAGATACATTGAATCTTTGGTCATAGTAAAAAGAATGATTAGTTTAGAAGAACAATATATGTCTGAAACAATAGCTTTTGTTAAAGAAGTTCAACAACCATCTAATCTACCCAGTGGATCATTACTTAGTGTACCAATTACAAATAATCAATTATCTCAACAAAGAAAAACACCTGATATTGTCAGTAAGTAATGCATTGTACGCGTACATATATTACAGTCTATTGTAGGATTTAATTTGTTCTACAGGTAGGTGTACTTCTAGAACTGTAAACGCAATGTTGGCGAGCACAGAGTCTATGGGAAAGCTGTAGTAAGAATAAGATCAACTTGGTTTTAAACTGTATCTGCTTCTAAACATAAAAAACAATTACATCAGTACAATAAATAAGGAAATTACAATTATCAAGTAAGACGGGCAAACATACCGACCAATACAGCGTGTCTTTGAAAATGAATAAAACTATGAGTCACATCAATATAATAAGATAATAATGTCCTCCAATTAGTAGGTCATTTACAACAAAGAAAGTTTACAGACATGTCAGATCAGATCACGTGGTAGGCGCTTAAACCACAATTTGATTGGTTTGTTATGACATAACTACAATTAGTTATGAAAATAACTAACAGCTATCATCAATTAAAAATATTTGACTGTTGTTATTTGATTTTTATTTCGTCATTTCATAAATTGCATACTTATTTCTGAATACTTGAAATTTTCAAAACTTAAAACGATGATCCAGAGCTAACATATTTGAAACCACTCGCTAAAAGCTCATATGTGTTGGGTCTGAAGCACCTGATCCTGGGTTCTGCGATCACTCACCTAGGCTATTAAGAACACTGCTAGTCTGTTTTTCTTTCCAGTTTCGCCAATTTGAAGTATTCTTTCATGGTGTATGCAACCGAGATGTAGTGGCCACCCTAATACTTCTAACATCATGAAAGGGATCACCTGGCTAACTGATTGACTAACGAAAAATAAAACGCAATACATGTATTCACCAAGAATTGCAAGACGCGTAATTCACAATTGTGCACGCATCTTTGTCATAGATAATGTTTAAATTAATATTACAATAGCTGCTTTATACTTTAGAATAAAAAGGATGGGTTTTGAAAGCCGCCTACTATTACTATGCTTCAACTGTGCTCATGATTACGTTATGATCAATGATATGTCACTTGATAAGTTACTGTGAAAATTTCTCTGCGTTGAGTTCTTCATCCAATGATTTGAATCTCTGTTAACATTTAGGTTTCCAGTTGACAATGGATGGATGATTCAATTTTAATGTAATACACCTGATCACTACTTCTTTTCCGTTCACCTATCTGTTAACAGTTACAAATACAGTGAAAAAAACATTGTGTTCATGTTGTGTGAGAGAAAAAGAATCTTAACTGGTTATTTACCTTAATAGACTCGTAGATAGTCAGATAGTCATTTGAGGTGACACGTATATTGCCCACCCTTTTGTATTAATATAAACTGCCTGTTGATTTTTGACTAAGATACACACGTGGTCAGGCCTATCCCGTGTTCTTGATCCGAATTGTGTTAATAGAGTCTAATACAATCTTGCTGGCTGGATATCTGGCGTAGAAAGACAAAGTGCATTCATTCATTCTTTATCTTCGTTTACGAGAAAGTCATGAAAACCAATTGAAATCATCAAACTAGTTAAGTAGCCGGTACACCTGATCATTTAGTTTATTTCTTCAGTTTACCTTCTAATCTTTGACAATGAAGTTGATCATTTGATATTCAAACGTTGAAACACCTTCAGGTCACTCACTGTCCCATTATTTTTCAGTGATGTAAGGATGAAACTAATATGTATTCATTAAAAACATTTGACACTAAACAATGATTTTTTTTTGAATTTGTCATAACATTTTGCATTTTATTATTTCTCTATTGAAAATTATAGGTAATCCTTCAAAAATGAAACAATTAGACGCTGGAATTCATCATGTACGTCGAGTACGACGTCAATTTTGTCGTACGGAACATGATGCAGCCATTATAGCGTTAACTAGTGGTGTAGTTGGTGCTGGACCATATGCAATAGCTCAAGGTATATTGTTCTATAGAAGAGAAACAATGCGCTTCTTTATGACAAATGATACAAGTAAGTAGACAGTGTTATTCATTATTTCGATATGTTGTTTTTTTTTCAAATGTTTTGTTTAGTTAGAGTTACATGGTTTACATCATGGAACTACTTTAATCAAAAAATGAGAAAATGCTGGACAACTCGTTCGTTCTAGCATGTGATTACTCACCAGTGCAAGTTTACGTCCCAAGTGACGATCGATCAATGCAACGAATAAATCACCTTCAGATCACTGTGTTGGAATCCAATTGTTCACACGTCGAAATTTAATCATTTCACGATATTGTATAACCTTCTTACATTGAAACAGATAAACAAGTGTTTCACATCAAATAGAATTTAAACTCCGCTAGTCTTGGTTTGCCACAAGAACTCCAGGAATTACCTACTGAAACTAGTTACTAATGAACTCATGATCATTATTACTATAAGGGTTTGAAGTTCATAACTTACATCACGAACTGATTAATATTATCGGCCATAACTAAAGTTGTTTGAAGACACTCTTCAGGAAACATTGAATATTGATTAGTAATAACGATTATTTCGAATTGTTAATATTTAAACTCTAATAATATGCCACTGATCTACTACTGTAAAGTGAAGAGTGAAACCACAAGCTTCACAATATAACTTGATAATACGATAAAATATTGTATTTTACACCTATACTACTTAAGAAAACGTTTGTCAACTCTTTTAAGATGTTCATTATCCTATATGTCATCTACCAAAAACTGCTACTTCCTCAATTAGAACATCAAAAATCTAAACCGGTAGTTGTTCTTCATATTTTAACATTGGGACATACATTTATTATTGTTTTATACGTAAAATGCAAGATGGTAACACTTTGTGAAGAACATAGAGCAAACAGTTGTCAATATTTGGCGTCAGGTAACGTAATCGATCTATCAGTAATTTGTTATAATTTAATGAACCTTAAAAGATTTAACAACAAATGAGGAACCAAAAGAAAGATCACAATTAAAATTAAATCAAAGTGCTTTAGATTTATAGTTTAATAAATATTTATTGAAAGTATACAAACGTTTTCATCAAAAACATCTTTCTCTGTCGTCTTCTTCACTTTCCTTCTTAAAACCTCACTAAAACTTACGAGATTTTTCCCTGAATCTAATCACTAGTGAAAAGTTGTGAGGATGTCGTGCCGCCAACTATACTGGGCTGGGATGAGAAAGCATTTAGGTGTTTTCTTCAGATAACCAGTATCTTCAGTGATGTTGGGACAGAGTTAGAAAAAGTCAGATCTTCAGATCCTCGTCGCTAATACTAAATACATTAAAGCACGGAGCTAACTCAACTAAGACTACTTCAAATAGCCTACATGTATGGCTAGCCTCCTGCAGTTTTTTCCTTGGCACTGAGGTGAAGACATCAGGTTTTTCAAACCATCCCTAACCAAGTTTCCTTTCCAGATCGTACAGAAAGTATTCTTCTTGTATGGTGTGGGCAACTGAGAAGTGACAGCTGCCTATATTCTTATTCTGAAAAGGCTTGTACTAGATCATAACTGCCATCAAATAATCCCTGGTATTCTATGTTTCTCTAGACAAATAATTGACCAAGCACAGAATATTAAAAGAGAACAAATAATAAGATAATTCATTTCGAAATTGAGAGTATTCAGTAATTCCTCGCTTCAAACTCTAGTTCTTTTCATTGGTGTTGTATATACTTTCAAGTAATACTAAATACCATTTTCATGAATTATACCCTTGTTCAGTATATTTCCCGCTCGCATTTGAAAGCCTTACGGTGTCATATATTTTTCAGAGTTACAAATGATCACGTATTCCTTCTGATACATAGAATTAATTTTAAATAGTTTGACTTACAAATGCATTTTCTGCACATATTCATTTCAAACTGTTTTTAGTTCGAATATTTCTCATTTACTATGCTAATTATATGTAACTTCTGCATACTACGGTTTCGCTATTACGCATGCTAAAAATTGAGTGATATCATATAGATGAATTGTTTACAGCTTAATGCAGATAGCACCGACTGCCTCGACGAGCTATGTTTTGTGGTGTAGGAGTAAGTTGGAAGAAAGCTAGGGGCGGTCAGACCGAAACATGGCAGAAATCCATGAAGTCACTGACAAGTGGACTGAGTCATGTTGGTAGATGTAGACTACCTGGTCGGGGTCCGCGAGACAAAATTCACCAATGGTTAGAGACCTTGAACGACATGGCTCAAAATCGTTTGCAATGGCGCAAGCGCATCCATTAGTTGTGCTCTCTCAAATCCTAATCTTCTTGATTCGCCAGCACCTCTATCTTTGTCTTTCTAACCTTATCTCACTGAATTATACTTTTTGAATAATATCTTCAAACCCTAGTCTTCTTCATTACCATTAATACCTCTACTATCTTTATCACTATGGGATTTGATTTGACATTTGCATCTCTGTGCTAATGTGGTGGTATGGCAACATGAACTTATGTACATACGTACGAAGTTCTACGTTGCAACTGACTGACTGACTGGCTGACTAATGTAGATAGATGTAAGAAATTTGTGTGTCAAGCATATTCTTTCACTTTTCTTATATTCTCTAAGCTTTATATTTTTGAATAAGGTATAAACTGAAGAATGTAAAACAAAAGAAAACTTGTTAGTCCAATTATTCAATGTTGAAAAGATCACACTGATAAAATTGTATTGTACTACTTACTAGCCATATATTTTCTCTGTGATATTTCGCAATCGATTTATATCAACCGTTTCCAGACATAATTTTTTCAGGTAGAACTGCATTTTTGTTTTTTTCAAATTAATTTTACAAAATCACAGTTCGATGAACAGTTTTACTTTCAAATTATATAAGTTTATTAACATTGAATTAGTTCTAGTATTCGAAGCTTAATTCCGTTTTGTTTTTTTTATCGTTCAGTATAGTTCCATTTATTTTGAATTAGTTAAAATTATCATGCGTAAGCTTTTGTGGTTTGATTCTTTCTATTAACGTATGATATAATATCTTATTTACATGTAACTAAATTTCTTGTTGAGTTAAAATATGATTTATGAAGTTCAAGTAGAATAAAACTGATAAATAAAGTCATATAAGTCACACACAGTTTATGAGCTGATAGAAAATATCTATGGTTACTTCGAATCTATCCGCTTAGTCCACCACAAGTCAAATTTTCACTATTCATGTCAGTTCTTTCATTTTTAAAGTTTGACGATTCTCATTTAAAGTAAAATCTAGTATTTATTTGGCTTTCAGAAGTTTCAAAAACAACCAGTTTTAAAAATTATTATCATTATCATTGTTGTCGCTCTAAATTAAATTAGTGAACATGAGTTCACCTTTTCAACTAAATATGAATCACAATAAATTAGAATGGGTCATGTTTATTGAAAAATTGCACAATATCTCTGATGAATTGTCTCGTTATTTTGAAGTTCTTTCCCATCTCAGACAGACAGCCTTCATTTGGTCAACAATTACGGAATTTCACTATAGTCCGGGACTTGTCAACAGTGCACATTTACAGCTCCACACTGGATCGAGCTTAAAACTCATAGATTTCATGACAAATCGTTTATCCTATGACAACTGCCTTTCTCATAAATGATGAACACTCCAAACTTTAGCTGATTACTGATACTGTGTGACTGATATTCATCACATGTCGTTAGTGATGTTTCTTCAATTCTAAACATAGTTGAATTATACTTTACACTGAGATTTCAGAAATCTTTCTTAAACGTGCTAATAAAGTAATTCATAGCAGAAAAACTAAGAACATTTAAGTTAATTGGATCATGTTGACTAACTACCGACTTAGATCATCATATGACATGATGGCTATAAGTGAAGCAATTAATCACTTCATACAACAACCATTTGTACACATAATCTGTAGATTATTTCAGCTCTTAGGTTTCACTTGGGAAGTAACTAAGTCAGTCAAAAAAATTGATCAAACAATATGTCAAGGTCATCCAGTGGGTGTAAATACAAAATATTTACCATGACTACGACTTTACTCCCTATCCACTCACTGACCAGTATTTTTTTTTCTTGGGCTAAATTCCAACAAATATCCCATTTAGACAATTACTTTTTAGGTTGATAACCAATAATTACATGGAAGTGTCTTGACTACTACTATCGTAGCATGGTCTTAATGATTACAATGAATGGTTTATTCTGTTTTCTCTGACCGATTCATAGAACTAATTTCCTTATTTTCTTACTCAGACCTGGTAGGAGGAATGTTTTCATTGAAATTTAATTTACCGAATTTCTATTTATTCGTTAAAATTACATCCGATATTTCCTGAAGCGCCGTGAGGAGGTACAAAGTACCGATAAATTATTGTTATATTTTCTTGTTATCGTGTCCTTACTTTTAAGTGCGACGTACACACCATATTTTTCATTTCATATTCCCATACGAATGATAGATATCAGAGTTTAATTTTTTAAAAAAAGTATTCAGTGAATTGTTTCATAATCACCAATGAACACATGATTAAGTTATTTTCATTAGTGAATGTCTTCATTACGGAACTTTATGGTAGATATTTTCATATTTTACATACTTGAATCAACAATACAAATTAAGTATCCTTTTAACTAATAACCTTACCAGTTCATAACTGCATAAGGACAAATAATATCTTGATAAATACTGAATTTCTTTTGCTATGGTTTAAGTTTTTGGAATAAATTTTTTTGTCATACACTAAAGCGATATTCAACTTCATAAATACTTTTACTGATCACTAATCATACAAAAAACTATTTCACTGACTGTAATAGTATATGTACTTATTACAAATAAAGTTGCAAATTATTTTGAATAAACTTTCTTATCATTACAGCATTCAAGACACGGTGATTCAAAGTTCAATACTTGGACCAATAAGATACACAACTAGAAATAAACTTAGTGTTATCAGTCATTATATCAAGATAGAGTTTGACACAAGTATGTGTTGGCCCAGTTTATTATACCATAGTCGGACAATCAAATCAAATAATGTATTACCATTAAGAATATGGTTTAACATGGCAGAAAGAAAAAGTAAGCATGAGAGAACACTGGAGCTCAAGTGCTAGCGAAGGATAAAAAGTGAATAGATTTGCTGCAGTGCGATTGACTTAAAGTCATCTCGGTCACTGTCTCCATTCATTGATCGCTATTATCCCATGGATCCCATCAAAGTAGTCTGTATCTATCAACAGCGCTCAAACTGATGCCATGTTTTACTTTAGGATGTCCCAAGCTTTTTATCAACCTATCTTTACACCAGCTAATATTCACCATCGAGGTAGGGGCAGTGGATAGGCATATAAAACACATGTTCTAATTACTTAAATTTAGTCCATAAGTCAACGCTAATTGCATATCTCTTATTGCATGTTACTCAATCTAACGTTTGTAATTATTGTTAACTTTACTAATCGTTTGATCAGTGTCCCAGAAATAGTACTTTTAATACATTAGTGTTGCGCTATATGTGTTGTTGCTATGACGTCTCTAATCTACACTCATTCATGTCCTGCTACATAACAAAATGTAAGACGTTAAAGTCTCATGGCGCAAAAGACAAATTCAAAACTAACAGATTGACAATGAAAACCGACTTAAAAATAAAAAACTTTAGCAAACTTTCTAGTTGATTAATAATAAAAATAATTTATTAGTAGTATCGTAATGAGTAGAAAAGTTAAAAACATTTTCTGATATTTCATGACTCAATGTAAACCACTTCTTCAAAGGATAAATAAATGAATTAAACTAACACAAATTTAACTACTACAGGTGTTCATTGGTGAATAGCTTCAAGAAGTAGGAGGAGTAGCACTGTCTCAACTTTGATCGATAGATTAGTGTGGTGCGAGCTACTTATAAGTAGTATATGACGTGAGTGTCAACGTAATGTCTGGCAGCAGAAGATGGGGGAAGATCAAGAAAGGAAGAGCTAGAAGACAATGGAATTTGTATGAAACGCATGAATAGTGACCATGGATCGATGTTTTGCAACAGGAAAAGTCCAGTTCGATATGATGGACTGATATTTTGCAAATTAACGATTTACGATATGGTGTTTCGATTTTACTGACTAACTCTGTAATTTTCGTTAAATACAATTCGGTTGCCCCACCTGTGTTCTTCTTCACTACATGGTACCGAAGATTAGTCATATTATAAATAAAATAAAGTATGATATCCTAACGAAATACATTTGCTTGCAATGAAACAAGCTGGTATCAGCCAATCGGAAAACGTTGTTGTTCATACAGCGGTTGCTGTTGCGGTTGACTTTCATCATAGTTTTCATGTATGAAGTTAAAGTATTATTTCCATATATTTATGTATCCATCTGCCAGTACTACTGTTAGGTAACTGCCTCGCCTCACGTCTGACATGGATCCCATTACACTAGTCGCACATTCTAACTAGAATTTGTGGAATTACCTCTCGAGAAAGAAATAGTAACATTACTGAGCGAAGTAACATCTGGTTAAAGGAGCAGGAGTAGTTAGTGAAGATTTTCTACTACGGTTTGCATTATTATAAATATGAAACATTTCTCACTAAGCGTTTTAGAAATTTTTTATGGGAAATGCTCACATGAATTGGGAATAAATGCAGTTTATTAGGGGGAATCCTTCCTTTCGATTATATCATTTACATAGGCTGAACAAGAATATATTTGTACCTACTTTTAGATGAGTAATCTATGGTGAAATAGAGGATATTGCATCTCTTTTTATTCTTGCCAAATGTTAGTGAAAATTTCCTAGTATAAAATACGATTTACACAGTGTTGCTTAAAAGTAAGTAAATGAGTAAGCAAGCCTAAAAGTAATCAGTAGTAATTATACACAGAGGAAATGTAAAAGATTTTCATACGGTTGACAAATATCAAGTTAAAAGAATAATGATATAGCTGACATTGATAATTTGCACTTTAAGATTATAGGATGCAATATGTCTGTTTGGTAAACAGATCAGGTTTTAATTAATGAATTGTCATAAGCTTCAATTGTATACAAATTTCTGTACGAAACAATTTTTGACCCAGTTCCTTCAAATTTAAAGATGATCCTGTATCGTCTTATGAAGATTTTGCTTAATCTGAAGATACGCTGGTGTTTGTGACACATTGATGTTCGTTATGAAAACAGTAAAAAACCTGGGAAAACCTCGAAATATTTCCTCTATTCAAGTTTAAGTCTTTTCAGTGATGATAATCCAAAAGCCCACAAATAAGCAAGCTTAAGATCGTTAAACAATCGTAATTATGTGAGGTGGTTGAGTAGCTCAACAGTATGTTTTTATGTGTTTGATGTACGGATATGTTAAATATAAGACATGTGACCGACTTCTAGTACAAATCAACAAATACAGACACTGATGAAAATAAATTAATTCTATCCCTCTAAAGTAGATAATGTTTATGTTTCAACCTTGTTTCCACTTAGTGCCTTAATGTCGTTTTACATATGCTTTATTTCTGTATACTAAAGAAACTAGATTAAATCAGTTGAGTGTTGAAATTTTAAAAGCCTCAAATTAGAGCATAAAAACTGTTCACTGGTCCCTAATTAACTAAATTTTTTTGTTCGGTTCTTTGTACATTTCTATTCAATGAATATTCTCATTGAAATAGTAACTAATGTGATTGAAAACTGTAGCATACAACAATCTTATTCCCTTTCAAAATACATTTATTGTTTACATCAAAACAAAAGTTCAATAGTCTTCTATCACCATTGATTTTCACTCGATCTTACACTTGTAAAGAACTCCATCAATCAATCAATCCCGACCGTAGCTGTTACCTTGACGTGGTGGTCGAGCTTGCCTATCATGATGATCCAACCGAGCTGTATTGGCTGGAACTTATGTTCCTGAAGGTTCTACCATGCCAGGCAGGTCGATTGGAGAACGATGAGACTAAAAGCAGCTACCCAAGGTCTGAGGGCGAAGTCGTACTGCTGACTGTGATTGAAGGGGTGTGACAGCAGTAAGGTGTTTCCCTCGGACAACCAGCATCTGCAGCGATGCTGCCTTCTCACAAGGAAGGATGGGTTAGAAAAGGTTGACCCTACAAATGTCACACCTCACCCTACCTGACGGATTTCCGTCTCCGTCGGTAAGGGTGCCCACTAAGAGCTTTCAAGGGCGCAGCTAATACACAAAAACCCTTTCATCAAAAGGCCGTGCGTGACCGGCCTCAAGCAGTTGTCCATTGGACTCTGCGGTCACGCTCTCAGATCTCTAAGACCGACACTAATTTACCTTCTTTTTCAGGTCCCTCAAGAAACAGCCTTCCGCTGTGCGGGCAGCCGGGAAGTGACAATCGCCCTCATACCCGTAACGACACACGAGACCAAATTGGTCAAAATCAAATCCTCCCTACTCCCCCTAATATCTCTCTTCTTATCTCCACGATTAACTAGTAAAGAACTGCTTTTCTGTGATACGTTATCTTTATAGAGGAGAGCTTATAAATTTCTTGAGAATTTTTTTTCTCAAGTTTTTCTATTAAACACTCCTAATGAATGAGTTCACATATTTATCGATTGAACTTTTCACAGTTTCATTCATCTCTATCTATCTATCTATCTATCTATCGAATGATAGATTTATTCAACTAATTAAAAATGTTTGTTTGTTTTTTTTCTTCATTATTTAGAAATTACTCTTCTCATATGTACCATATTTTCTATGTTATGGATAAGTACAAGTTTTACACATTTCTATCCAGCATCATATCAACAAAATAGAATAGAATTTGAACGTGGCATTGGACAAGTTCATATTGGTGGATTAATTTTACTATTTATTGTACATTTAATACATATTACATTACGTTGTTTTTCAATTGCATTATTTACTGGACGATTTTATCCAATGATATTAATTATATTAGGTGGACATTTTCTTATTGTATTAATAACAATTATGATTTCTAGACAATATACTAGTCGATTGGATCATTTAAATCAAGGAATTGTTAATACAGTAAGTTATTATTTTGGTTAACTTTTATTTGAATGATATATTTTGTAAATACTTATCGATATTTAGTGATTGCAGTTACTTACTTACTTACTTACGCCTGTTACCCCCAATGGAGCATAGGCCGCCCACCAGTTTTCTCCAACCAACTCTGTCCTGGGCTTCCCTCTCCAGTTCTGTCCAATGTTTGTTCATTCCTCTCATATCTTTCTCTATTTCTCGGCGTAGTGTGTTCCTTGGCCTTCCTCTTTTCCTTTTGCCTTGAGGGTTCCATGTGAGGGCTTGTCTCGTGACGCAGTTGGGTGCTTTTCGTAGTGTGTGTCCTATCCACTTCCACCGCTTCTTCCTGATTTCCTCCACCACAGGAATCTGGTTTGTTCTCTCCCACAGTTCGTTGTTGCTGATGGTGTTTGGCCAACGAATCCGAAGTATTTTGCGTAGACAGCTGTTAATAAACACTTGTATCTTCTGAATGATGGCTTTGGTAGTTCTCCATGTTTCCGCTCCATATAGTAGAACTGTCTTGACATTTGTATTGAAAATCCTGATTTTGGTTTTGTTTGAAAGTTGTTTGGAGTTGCAGATATTTTTCAACTGTAGAAATGCAGCCCTTGCTTTGCCAATCCGCGCCCTCACATCTGCATCCGATCCACCTTTCTCGTCGATGATGCTGCCCAGATATGTAAAGTTGTTAACGTCCTCGATAGCATCTCCATCAATCGTGATTTGGTTGGTGCATGTTGTGTTGCATCGGAGAATTTTGCTTTTTCCCTTATGTATGTTGAGACCTACTGCTGCAGAGGCTGCTGCTACACTGGTCGTCTTCTCTTGCATTTGTTGTTGAGTGTGCGATAGAAGAGCCAGGTCATCTGGGAAGTCCAGATCGTCCAGCTGCGTCCTAACTGTCCAGTTGATACCGTGCTTCCCTTCATAATCCAGTCGATGACCAGGAGAAAGAGAAAGTGATTACAGTTGATTGAACTTAATTTGTGAGAAGCTTTTCTTTTGTTATTATTTGGTATTCATTATCAACATCAAATTACATTCTTAAAGCTTCTGATCATCATTTGAACTTGTATGCTGGTGGTCATATACTGAAATCATGACACATCTCTAAAACAATAAGCGTGATTTAATGTAAATTGGACAAAACAGTAGCACCTACATGGAATCTTTATTGATGTATGCTGATATTGTCATATTTTGGCGGAGAGTTTTGGAGGTTTGCGTTTTTACACATTTGAAATTATCAATCAATCATTGTTAGACCACCATTAGAAACATGGAAGCACTGGACGGCTGTTTCGTCCTGGTATGGGACTCATCAGTGGCAGTGCGCATTCACGACTCCTGCTCCTCGCAGGATTCGAACCCGGGACCTTCGGGGTTGTAGGCGAACGCAAACCTCCAAAACTCTGCCCCAAAATATCGTAACAGTGCTCACTAGTGACTAGCTTCGTGAGGAAATTCTCGGGGTTCTAGTTGAGAAGACGTGACCAATGGAGTTCAGCCCTGTCAGGTGTAGGCAGTAACTACCAAAGACAAATGAGTGAGGTAGCGCAAAATCCCTAGATCAATCAGAGTTAGACATTAACACCGTTGGTTGCCGGCCCAGTGGTCCGACGATAAGGTGTTCGCCTACAATGCCGAAGGTCCCGGGTTCGAATCCTGCGGGGAGCAGGAGTCGTGGATGCGCATTGCTGATGAGTCCCGAGACGAAACGGCCGTCCAGTGCTTCCAGGTTTCTAATGGTGGTCTAACAATGATTGATTGATGATTTCAAATGTATGAATTTTCATATTGCAAGGCGAAATTAGAAATTATCTAGACACTATTAATAACCATTAAAAAGAACCAAGAAGACTTACGGTTCAATAAGGCAATTGTATCATATTCTACAAGCTGTTTTTTTTGTAAACAAAATTATTTCATTAATTTATCAGGATGAAAATGGAACTTGAAAAAAATCAGATTTTACAATGAACATTGTTCTCTTTAAATATGCAGTCATGACCTATTTGTCATATCACATCCACTAGTTCTTGCTATTTACAATAATTGGAACTTCTGTTATTGACCATTGAACCATCTACTATGAAAGTATCATTTCAATCGTAGTACAATAAGATATATTTTTTGAAACCATGAATCGATCAATGTTAGACCACCATTAGAAACCTGGAAGCACTGGACGGCCATTTTGCCCTGGTATGGGACTCCTCAGCAGTGCGCATCCACGACTCCTGCACCCCGCAGGATTCGAAGCCAGGACCTTCGGTATTGTGCGCGAACGCCCTAAACGTTAGACCACTGAGCCGGTATACAACGGTGTTAATGTCTAACTTGATCAAATTCACGGATGCGCACTGCTGAGGAGTCCCATACCAGGACGAAACGGCCGTCTTTCAGTGATTCCAGGTTTCTAATGGTGGTCTAACATTGATCGATTCATGGTTACAAAAATGTGTAACTTAACAATCTTCACAAACCCGTAATGCAAATAAAATATATAATATAAACTGATAAAAGTACACTTTCAGGACGAATGAATCAGAAGTGAAAATGCGAACTTTTACGCTTTTTGTGCAACAAAATTCAATCGTGATGCGTGACAAACAGTAAAAATATTTCTGTACACTACTGCTCCAACGTGTTTAAAGTAATGACCAAAAAGAAAAAAATATTTTTGGCAGTCACAAAGTAAAACTAACAGACAAACACTTATCAAATTGTTAATTCATTCTAAGAATGTTTATAACAGACAAATCAACACTGTCATTATCTAGTTCATAATCTTAGATTATTAATTCTGAAACAAAACTTAACTTAAAATAGTATGATAACGACAAGTGAAATTCATTCCCTCATATGGCTACAGATCGTTTTTCTATGGTAGGCAACAACATTTCGTAACTAGAACTCTAACTCAACACCACACTTGAAACAATGTAGGGACTTTTAAAAATCTGTTCATAAAGGTTTGAGAATATCTCAAAGGCCGAATGTACATGTGATTATTGGTTCAATTAACAGACAGAGTAACTTTTACGAGATAATAATGGACTTGTGAGAAGTATTCACGATAAAAGCTGTTTTTTGATTAACGAGAAACGAAATGAAAATTTTATATCATACCAACGTTTCATCTTACGATTTTGTCCGGACTTCTGCAGAATAATCAGAATCATAAACAAAATTATTACAGAATACAAGACGTTTAACTATGAAATCAAGTATACACTAAACGTTTATCCAATCGTATTCCAGCGTTGACTTTAGTAAGCAGGATAACATGAGTCAAGTGAAAAGTTCACACTATGAAAAATAATAAATAAATGTGTACATGTGTATGTAGAGATTTCTATTATTCATAGTTGATATGTGGTGAATGCATGCCATACATTCGTTGATTAAATGTAAGCATAAAAGTGCAGTTGTAAATGTTGTTTTGAAGTCGAATATGTATGTAAATTGAGAGTTACCACTTTCATAGTGATGATGTAATAAAACAGGGTGGATGAGATCCGATTACTTGTGAATGGTAATTTGCCATGAGGTAACTACTTGAATACCATGTTTTCTATATTTGTGCTGTTCTGATTAGCCCATATATTCATCGCTTCATCTGTCACTCTTTCGCGTGCTATAAACTCTTTCTGAAGTATTTTGGTCCCACTGAAGTTGACCTTATGTCTTGTTTTTAGTGTATGTAATGCTATTGTCAGAATTTGTTCAATTATTGCTGAATATTCATATAGACTTGTCATGGCTGTTTTAAGTTCGTTACTTTTTGTTACGCATGCACGCAAACACGTCATTTGATATGCGTGAATTATTACGAGTTTATCTTGGTCCGAAAACGAAAGCGAGTATCGAGGATCTGGAGACACGACAAGCCACTCTAATCCGATTATCCCAACCCCACTGAATAAAAGAAGAAGACTTGATATGAAGTAGAACCTGTATTCTACAAGCACTCAGAAAATAGGTGGTTCGAGTCCAGAAGAGGGATCCGGGTCCGGGTCATAAAACGTTACAGATAACGCGTATTTATACATTTAGGTCGAATAGGAAACAGCATCGAAGTCTGTGACATTGACAATTTACGCGACCAATAGGAAAAACATTTGAAGTGACATTGATATTTAGGACGACCATAAAATTGACCAGTAGGAATTAACCAATAGTTCTCTTAGGATATTGGATGAATTTCCTAACACTTTACTTTAACTTCACCTAGAAAATTACATTAAATCATTTGACTGAATGATAATATCATAGCTCATTTTATTTGATAGTATGAAGGTAGTATTGAAGATAAAAGAATAATTGTAGGAAACGAATGGAAACTTCAGTTTGCATTGCTGAGACTGATTACCTACATTTATTGTATGTTTTATAACAAAGATTGAAGGTAGTTGTGTACGCTTCACGCAAAATTCCTGTATTTTTGCGTTAAATTCGATTCCCTAAATTAGTTTGAAGATTAATCGGTAAATTACAAGTCCTAGTAGCTTATATCACACTCCTGAGGATTAATTAAATTCAATGAAGGTGAAAACTATGGTCAGCAGAGAATTACTTCCATTAGTAATGTTGATTAGCAATCATTGCTGAACATATAACAAAAACACTGTTTTAAGTATGCCAATCGGTTTATCGATTACAGTTAGATCATTTATCTCAACTAACTGATATTTCGATAAACCACACTGAATATGTTATATCAAGATAGTGATTTAGCTTACTGTCAAGATGATCTAATCAAAATATAATACCTTGTATGTTTGGTAACGATGAATATTGAATGTTTGTAAAAACTAAAATGTTTTTGGTCATAAGTGTGAGAAATTTCAGTGATTAGCATAAATAAAAATCATTAAAAAAGTCAGATATAAGAGATTTCAAAGGTACAGTTCTATAAATTTACCATAAAAGTGAGTATTCTATGAATATGCAAATAATATATAAAAGTTCTATTATCAAGTACAGGTTTATGTATTTGGTTTTAAGATAAACGGCTTATGTGAATTTTATACGATAGATAGATTTTAGCTATCAATAGGACCCGCTTGGAGCACCTTGTTCTACTCGGAGCTTGTCAGATGGATGTATCTTGATCGTTTTGTCATTGTTCACACTAACACTTGAACCCAATAACTCTCACTTCATCCACTAACATGTTTTCCATTGACCTATGTATTTCAATAATCATTAGCTTATTCGAAGGGTATGATGTTCACTTCATCATATTCATGATGTGTTTAATACTCTAATCAGAGCTGGTATGATATTGATCAGTGGTTAATGGGAGATCAATCGATATCACATTTTTTAAGTTTGCCAATCATAGTTCTACTGTGCATTCGCTATTTTGTCTTAAGTGTGAACCAATGATAGGTCCCGATTATTACACAATTTGTTTTAAGCTGGCACGAGCTTTATTCCTATTAGTTTACCGTTACTGATAGTTTCTTCTATTTGAAGAGGAGACTACAGTCACGTTTGTATTATTATTTTATGCCAACCAAACAGCTTAGAATCATTAACGTATATACATGACATATCACAGCATAAAGTATGAAATCACTGTTATACACAAGCAGACAATGGAATCAACCAAGCTGTAAATAAATGATTAGCAGTAAAACTAGAAATCATAAGACGCGTATGGATAGAATGGAAGCTAAGCAGAATATATATATATATGTTTATAAAGTTACCTGTCACTGTACAATAAAGATATAAATTAGTTTTAAGAGTTACATTTTCTCCGAGATGCGCCTTTCAACATAACAACTGGAGTGCAAGTATATTCAGCTGATAAGTCTCAGGTAGCGCGAAATGTGTGTGTTCTAAAGTTCACTGATAATCACAATTTAAACAATTTGTGACGAAATGGTTATAACGAGGTAATTCATAAAAAAACAGATCAAAATTTTTGTCAAGAATCTCTATAACAAAATAGTTGGATGCCTGCCCAGTGGTCCGATGGTTAGGCGTTCACGCACAATACCGAAGGTCCCGGGTTCGAATCCTGCGATGTGCAGGAGTCGTGGATGCGCACTGCCACTGATGAGTCCCATACCAGGACGAAACGGCCGTCCAGTGCTTCCAGGTTTCTAATGGTGGTCTAACAATGACTGATTGATGATTTCAAATCTGTAAAAACACAAACTTCCAAAACTCTGCCCTAAAAAATAGTGTAAACCCTCATGTTTCTACGAAACCTAATGATGCTGTCCCATTTCTTAAACTCAAGCGCACAGATTGAACAACAAATCTAATAAATAGATATATGTAATATGATTATTTCTTTGAATTTAATTGCATTGAATTTTCTTCTCTGTGTTTTCTTTTTTTTTTCAACAGCGTGGTGATGTATGCGGAAATTTCTTTGTTGACTTACTTCATTCCTATATTAGTTTATATGAATTTTTCAATGCTAACGTAAAATATACACGAACACGATATTTAATCTATTATTTCTTTTATTATCTAGAAAATTCCATTATGATTGGTCTATGGTATGATTATTATCAATATCCTGAATCATGGTATTATTTACCATGTTTATTAGTTGTTGTATTAGTACAATTATTAGGCTTCATTCTATTACAAGTATATTTTTATATTGATCCAAAATCACGGCATAAAACATCATTGTGTGGATTTTGTTTAACACATAAATCAACTGAAATCCCATTAGAACAACAATCAATGCCACAACAATATCGACAGCAGTCTTCAACAGGTTTAAGAAGTGGTGAATCAATGTCGAATTATAATCGTAATAGTTATAATATTAATAATAATAATAATATGAGTAATAATTCAATGCCTAGAACCGATATGAATACACCACAATCATTAATAAATTTCAATCGACTGCAATCAGGTACATTAAACAATTATCCATCCATAGATAGTATTAATTATACAGTAAAGCATGTACACAATGGTAGCGGTGGTATATGTGATCCAGTATTCGGGGAACAAATTGCTCAAACTGCTGTACCACTTCAATCACGCAATCATCATCATATGAATAAACGTAAAAGTAATTTATATCAAAAGTCTGCAGAGATGAATCAACTGAATCAAAGACCATTATCTGAATTAACTAATTCTTATAATTCTTATTCACGATCAACGACGGCAAAACAATTGACCAATGTAAAACATCGTCGTTATGCATCAGAAACACGTCAAAAACAAATGGAATCAAATGTCAATAATGTAAACTTAAAACAAAGAACTTCATCATCTAGTGAAAGACCGATATCACGTATAAGTAAATCTACAAATAAAGATTATAAACAATCGAATGATTATTTATCACAAGAAATTCCATCCTATGTAAAAACTAACAATGTACAAAGTTCATCTGACGCGGCACTGACCAATACAAATTCAAGGAAGTCAGATAAAAATGTTGTTCGTCATCAACCTAGGACTTCACATAACAATAGTCGGACAGTACGTAGTCGAAAAAGAGAAGGACAATCTATCCAAAAAGAATAACATTTCACTTGAGTGGATATTGGTCATATAAAACAACAAAGATTTATTCATTTACTCACTTGATAAGATTCCATTCATGCTTTTATATTTTGTTCATATTACTACTACTATTACTTACTGAGCAGTGTATAACTTAAATACTACTCTTCCAAATTATCATGGAACTGAACTATACTACTACTAATATTACCGTTAAAAATTTATTACACATATTTAACAGTATTTACACCAGATATTTTTAATAACTTTTTAATATATTACTTTACATACCTTCTACTAGCAGTAGAAAAACTTCTTCTATCATAGATCTGTTCCACATGAATATTTTAATGAATGTATATGTATATATAATATATTTTGTCTATTCTGACCTTTCTCTTAATACCGAACTATACTACTAATGAGTAGTCCGACATAAATGAGTAAAATAAGAGGCATCTGGTTAACGGCCACAGGAGGAATTAGAAAATTAGGTTATTCTAGTAGAAATCAGAAATAGGAAAGAAAATATGTACATATATATCGGAATTTAAAAAAAACTAATGGTAAGATAATCACTTATCAGTTAATAATATACCTTAGCTCGTACAAGATTATGAACTTTCAGTAATTAAATTACAATGTAATTTTGGGGCACAGGCGTTCGCCTACAATGCCGAAGGTCCCGGGTTCGAATCCTGCGAGGAGCAGGAGTCGTGGATGCGCACTGCCATCGATGAGTCCCATACCAGGACGAAACGGCCGTCCAGCTCTTCCAGGTTTCTAATGGTGGTCTATCAATGATTGATTGATGATTTCAAATATGTACAATGTAATTTAACAAACTTGTGTACTGATCCAACAACCGGATTATTAGAGTTTCAATCTACCTAAGAGTTCATAACGCAGTATTAGTTATCTAGATTTTCATGTGCAATAACGATAAGAGATCTATTTGTTAGGGAGAAATATGTAATAGCAATGCTATAAACGTTCATTATACTAAAATGCAGACTCGAATTTCCGTGTTCAACGTATACATCGCTAAGAGGTCATCACATCAAGACGAAACATCCGCCTAGAGTTTCCCAGATTTTTGCGATAAGTTCAGTTGTGATGATAACCATCTATTACTAAATAAGGAAAGATTAATGGATTGATGTTGAAGATAATTCACATAACAAATCGAAATTGCTAGCAGAGTTATTAAAATCAAAACGTATTTGGACATTAGGTTCTAACTGGTTTGCATTTAGTTACAAATGTCACTCAAGACGTCCATTACAGAGAACGAAACTCCACCAAAACTATCCATTTGAGCAACGAATGTCTACCATCTTAAAACGTCACTGACTAGACAGATTAAGAGTAAACTAAGGCGTTTGAAAATAACAAAGTACGATAATTTGTGAGTTAATCTTAGTATATTTATAATGAAGAGTGCTCCCCAATATTATCAAGTCAATTATACATAACGTGGTATAAGATGGGTACCACAACTTGCACAACGATCGATACTACTTAAAACAGTGACTTCCCATTATTTCTGTTTCTGGATTCTTAGATAGTGCACATTCATCGTGAAAATTATTCCTAGATTGATCGATTACATATCATTTAATCACTTCTATCGGCCAGTCTGTCAGACTCAGTTCCATATGCTTATAAGTGATATCATCGGGATCGTAACTGAACTGACTTAACTAAGAACTAGGTTAGATAAAGTCTAGATGCATTTGTTGAATTAAGACGGCGTTCGTACAAAACACTGGACAAAAATTATTTAGCAAATGAATGAATAATATGCCATCTGGAAATTATTCACTTTTTCCAATCGAATTAAAGCCTAAAAATCTGGATTAAGTCTTACCTGATAGTATCAGAAATACCAAAACTCAACAGATTAAGAAGTAATTACTTACATTCATAAGGATCTTCAGAATTATTTATTTTGTTTGAAAACATTAACTGATAATACAGTTAAGAATTTACATGCCTTATTACTGTCACGGATAATAAAATGAATGATACATGTTTAGGTTGGAAAGTAGCTACTAGTGGAATCCAGCTTCCGTGTTCCGTTCTATCTGCATCTGAGTGCACCTAATTTTATATCCACACCGAGGCTTCAAACCATAATCAATTGCATTACTTAGTTCAGAAAACCACTGGCTTGTGTAACGGATATAAACTGGCTCGGGGTGGACATCACTAACATACTCATGGCTTTTCTATCGTTCAGTAGGACTCTGAGGGTTTTCCTTGCTGTCTTTCTTACGTCCAGTAAACGGCAGACAAATACGTCCTCGTACTAGAGCATGATCTGAATGAAAACATGTGTTTGAGTTAGTGGCGGTCTCCTATTAGGCCTATCTACCGTCGGCTGACAGTATTGTGGTTTATTTGAGTCCATAATTTAGTCAGTTATCTCACTGGATTATAATTCTTGAATAACATCTTCTAACCCTAATCTTCTTCATTACGGTTAGTGCTTCCAATATCTCTACCATTACGTCATTGGAACTGTGTTAACGCGGTAATGCAACCTGAACTTATGTACTTAGGTACGAAGTTTTACGTCGTTGTAAGTGACTGACTCTCCTAGTTAATATGGCGTGTTACCTTATCTGACACAAGTTTCGAACATTACATGCTCTAATATGCAGTTTATGGCGGAGTTTCGGGAGACCAGGAATAACCTTTCGTGAGCTTGAAACGTTTGCATCAGCGGCGCGATGTGACAAAGGAACGAGAGAGAGTTACTTCCTGGCTGCCACATAGTTTAAAGGCTCTGGTAGTCAGAAGGGGCATCAGCCTCGTGACTTCCGAAGGAACTCGGCTTTCATGATGAGACGTCATAACTCTTCTAAACGAAGACCTTCTGACTCCCATGGCAGAATTTAGATGGTTTGAATTATGTTTTGTCGTTAGCGTCTTTTTAGCGGGTTATTTTCCTACGGGGTGAGGTCGCCAACCCTAACCCCCCTCCTTTATCTAGGCTTGGGACCTGCGGTAGCCCTTGAGGGGCTTCAGGTGGAGTTGTGGATTTCATTAGCATCTACTAAACTGATAGATGCTCGGCAACTCGTCCCATTTGGCTGTGAACACGATGAGGAGCGGAGTCAGCTTAAATGTACGTTGATAAGAGGCCTGCGTAGTGATCGCGAACAGCGGTAAGTAGTGAGTGTAAAAGAGATGGAAAACACAACGGCAACAGGTAACAGTAGACAACTATTCAGAATTATCAAGGAAACGGACACTACGAATGCGACTGTTAGCCAGACTCTCGGAAAAAGATGGGAATATTATTTATCTTAATTCAAGAAATTGGATTGATGGGCAGAACATTTTAGGGAGCAGTTCAACTGACGTTCAGATACAATTCAGTTATTTTGCAATATAGGGGTATGCTGAAAGCTAAGAGCGGTAAAACCAAGACAACTGGACTGAGCCGTGTAAGTAGATGTAGAGTGTATGGTAGGAGTCCGAGAGACGATCGCAACCGATGGTTAATTACTTTGAGTGACATGTTTCAAAATCATTTACAATATCGCAGGTTCATCCATTATTTGGTTTACCCCAAATTATTAGCTTATGAATCCTTCATAACTTTTTGCTTCATTTCACTGGTTAACATTTTTTTTAATTTTCAATCCTTAACCTTTTCTATGACCACCGATACTGTCACTGTATCTACCACTCTGGCGTTTGACCTGATAATTTCATCTTTGTTTACTAATGGTGTATGGTGGATTGAAATGAAATGTGTACACACTAAGTTCTGCGTTTTAAATGACGGATCTACAAAGTGATCTCTTGTGACCTGCTCCTTGGTCTCGGAGATTAACTCAGGGAGTTTTTTGCTAGTGTGAGCGAACGAGAAGGACCTGTTCGGAAAGTATCTAATTAAAACATTGTACACATAAGTTTAAAATAATGTCCGAAAAAGTACTAAACGTTGAAATACATAAATGTACAAATAATTTGATTACAAGAAAGTTAATTTTTAAAGCATCCGTCTACAAGTTTGATTGCTGTGTTTCAATATCTAGCCCGAATAGGTTTCGTGTTGCTGAAGCGTATTTTTTCAAATTATTTTTTTCATCTGCACCCGGTATCGTCACAAACGGTACATTGTGAATAGGTCTCATACGACTATGTCGATATTTGGGTGGGTCAGGTCGTTTAACCCATTGGTCCCCATTGAGTATATCATTTTTAGACCAAATAGATTCTAATGCTTCTCGATACTGTTCAATAGCAGGATGGGATTCAAGCTAAATGTAACGAAATGTAAAGATATGAAATGAAAATCAGTTGTGAAGTGTTTGTTTTTACAACAATTTTTTAAAATTACAATCTGCCATAAACTACTGTGAATTTTGTTTTGCATACAAATAGGAATTAAAGTAGACAAAAAAAAACACAAAGTTATATTTCTCTTAAACTTTTCAAAACCAGATAAAGAATAAGCCATTTAACATATTCTTTCAATGGAAATACTATCCAGTTGGTTTATAATTTCTTTGGCATCAGACCGTTAAGATGAAACAAATAGTTTACAGAGGGGAAACACTAACTCTAATGACAGAGTAGATGAATAATTAATTAATTACTATTTAATTATTTAATTATTCATATATTTTTCAAATATGATGATCATGCAACAGGCATATGAATTGAGCTTTTGTTGAACTGATTTTCAACAATTTGAACAAACGTATCAAAGTCTTGTCACTTCGTCAACCAATGAGATATCAAGTTAACGAAAGCAGTTGATTAGTGTTCGATTAATGACTAACTACTAATAATGATTTTATTCACTAGTGTATCCATCAAGAAGACAAGTCTAGAAAAATTTACTAAACGTTATTACAAGTTTTAAAACTTTTCTAAGGGATAACTTATTATTTATTTAAACATACAAACATTGGTAAAAAGGAGTTGAAACTAGACGGCCTTCTGGTGATCGACTGGATTATGAAGGCACTAATATCTGGAGGGAAGCACGGGATACAATAGACAGCTAGGACGCAGTTGAACGATCTGGCTTCTCTATCTCACACGCAACAAATGCAACGAGAGACGACCAGTGTGGAAGAAGCCTCAGGTGCAGCGCGTCTCGACAGGATTTTCCGATACAACAAGACATGCGCCAACCAAATCAAACTTGATGGATATGCCTTGCAGAACGTAAAAACTTTAACATATCTGGGAAGTATCATCGATGAGCAAGGTGGATATGATGCAGATGTGAAGGCAAGGATCGGGAAAGCAAGGGTTACAGTTCTACAACTTAAAAACATCCGGAACTCAAAACAACCATCAACCAACACCAAAGTCACAATATCCAATAAAAACGTCAAGATAGTTCTACAGTATGGGGTGGAAACCTGGAAAACTAAGAAAGCCATCATCAGGGAGATTTATTAACAGTTGCCTATGCAAATTACTTCCAATCCATAAGCCAGAAGACACCATCAAAAACAACCTACTGTGAGAGAGAACAAACCAGATCCCAGCAGAGGAAAAATCATGAAGTGGATAAGGTACATTGTGGGAAGCATCCAACTGCGTCACAAGACAAGCCCCCGTTCAGAACCCTCAGGACCAAAGGAAAAGAGGAAGACCGAAGAACATATTACGAAGAGAATTGGAGGCAGATATGAAAGAAATGAATAACGATACGGAGAAACTAGAAAGAAGAGCCCAGGATAGAGCAGATCAGAGAATACTGGTCGGCAACATATACTCCATTGGAGGTAACAGGCATGAGAAAGTACTAAATCGCCTTAGAAATTCCCTAGTAAATGATTTCACTGACTTTTCGTATCATTACTGTGGGAAAATGCTGCAGGACTGAGGAGCACTTGACCATATAACTGAAGATGAATATATATACATTAGTTCACGTAAATGAACACTGCTAAACATGCGTTAAGAGTATTCACGATTTTGAATCTACTTGGTTATATTTATATTATTATTTCACTTGACTCTCCCAATGATTTCTAGTTACATGCTTAAAATGTTAACCTAGTGGATGATATTATTTAGTAAAGTTTTATCGATTGAGGTGATTAAAACATGAGATACACAAGTTGAAGCTGACCATATTACATGTAGGTGGATTAAAGGACAAGAAATGGAATGATCCTCCAAATTCGCAGATAGAAACAATGAAGTATGCGACTGTTTGTTTACTGTATCATTTATTTTAAAACCCAACTGTTATTCATTTTTCTTCTTTCTAACGTTGTATTTGCGAAATTTCGAAAGCTCACACGTTAGCTGAATAATACGGTCCATAGAACAAACAAACCATTCTAGATTCTACTTGGGTAAAAAAAAAGGGTTTTTGGTGATTTTACGAAAAAAATGTTTTGATAAAAATCTTACTTCGGTTGTGGAATATTTTTCTTTCGTTTGATTATTACTTATAACTGGTTCACTATTACACGTTGAAAGTAAGTTAAAAAGACGTCGACGTGATTCACTTCTATTCCAATCAAATTGTAACCAATCATATTCTGGATTATCTGTTTCCCACTTTTCCGTTTTCTAAAATATTATAACAAAATAAGAGCGGTAGAAGATCAATCGGACAGTTTGGGTATAAACAATAGAAAAAAGTTATCAATGATCTACCCCAATTTGTGATTGCTCAGTAGTATGGAAGTATGTACGAGATACAGTCTTCAGAAGAAAGAGATATGGGTTGGTTACTGGCATTGTATTGGATTTTTCTTCGAAACATAGTGAAACTATCAATTAGTTTCGATTTTAAGTGTAGAATACTAAGTATGAATGGTTGATCAGCTCGATGTGGTTGTGGATCTTTATCGATCAGGTCAGTTGTATCTTACCCCCAACCGGGCAAACCTTAGTCAAGAGTGAAGTGATTCTTAACATTGAAGAAGACTATAAAAGGTTCAAGAGGAGCTATAGAGAGAAATAGGATTATTTCAAAAAGTCACAGATTATTAGTTCCAGCTGCACTCGAAGTTGTAAGTAATTGAAAAATGAGAGGACTTCTGTGACTCAGTATAAAATCAGTCTCAATGATCAAGCACTTTCTCTACATCATTGGTAGTGAGACTTGGATGCCAGGTATTTCACGTTTATAATGATCTAGTATCATTAGTGAATGTCTACTCTCACGGACAGCAAAGTAAAATACGGAGGTTATGATTACTAACTAGAACTGTGGAACATCCATCTCAAAGCAAGCTATTCATTGGAGGTTGAAGGATTTTGTTATGAAATTTGACCTCCCCAAGCATATACTACACCTAACAAAGGACGACTGATTTCGCCCCGACATGAAAACAGTAGTTCAGCTCCTAGTGCGAATAAATTATATTAGGTGTACAAAAAAAATTTGTCGTACAATTTTCGAGCATCATCTATTGTGGTTGAAAAAAAAAACAGAAAATGTCGGACGATAAACAATTTTACATTAGCGCACTTGATCGATAATGAAATGACTTTTAGCCATCAATTTATTTCGAACTATACCTTTTGTCCCATTATTTAAGTAAATACAGTTAACGAGTGACTTCTTGGTACATTCTTGTTCTTTTTATTACATAACATCTCAAATGTATAGGGGAATAATTGTGAAGAACTATTTTTCAGCTCATTGTATCTTTTTAACATTGTTCATTAGAGCTTTTCCATAAAACCAATTGAGAAAGAAAAAATATCATAACAAAAAATCCCTACAGGTAGATAGATGAGTGTAATGTTTCAATGATATGGATATTATATTAAATAAGTCAGTAGTTCAATGTGAAAGCAAAATTGCCACATCCGGAAGATTAGAGAAACGGTAACTCCTAGTGTGGTGCGAGCTACTTATAAGTAGTATATGACGTGAGTGTCAACGCAATGTCTGGCAGCAGAAGATGGGGGAAGATCAAGAAAGGAAGAGTGGGAAAACAATGGAATTTGTATGAAACGCATGAATAGTGACAATGGATTGATGTTTTGCAGCAAGAACAGTCCAGTTCGATATGATGAACTGATATTTTGCAAATTAACGATATGGTGTTCCGATTTTACTGAGTAACTCTGTAATTTTCGTTAAATACAATTCGGTTGCCCCGCCTGTGTTTTCCTTCACTACACTAGGACTAACTTATGGATCACTATTATAGTATATATTCTAATTATATAGTTAATAAGTAGCTAGATTATTATATTTTTCTTCTTCTTTTGTCATAAGCCCTTGATGAGTTGCACTTCCTAGTGTTTTGCCAGTTAACCATTCACAGACCCCTATTCGCTATCACTTTTGGCTGGCTTATGCGTATATATACTTTCTCATTTTATGGTGTGATGGTGTGGTCTGGTATGCTCGATATATCAACTGTGCTTGAAATATCACTAATTTTGTGGAGGCTGGTTACGGATTACTGAACTAAAAGGCAGAGGAGAAAGTAAGGAGCTATGTAGAAGTAGACCAATAGGTATTTAGAACAGATTTAAGGTTTCTAATACTAAACATAATTCTGACTGATGTTTTGCATTTGTCACATGATACTGACTAACGGTTAGGGATACAACAAAAGTAAACTTGCCTTTGATTCCAAAGTAAGAACTGTTAATACGTACATTAAGAAGTCAGTGTTCTGTTTTGATGTCGGACACCTTGCTGATGTTAGTTCTAAGATATCTGTATTCCAGTCATACGCCGCAATATTACGACCTGGGCCAGGACCTATTGCAAGCCGTAAGAGTTTTCTTTTCGCATGTTCATCCAAAGCAAGGTTAGAGAGATGGATCTACAACGTAAACCAACAATATTTTTAAAACAAAAATCCAAACTGTTTAGAATAAGTATTTCGATATGACAATTTGCAAAGCTAAATGACTAGTCAGTACTAGACTCCTCCCTGCATGGTATATTCACTGAAGTTCTATAGAAAATTAAAAATAAATTATACTTTGGTGATTGAAATTAGTCGACAGGAAACTCTGGAACCAAGTTTCATTCTAATCAGCACTTATTGACAAGGTTTTCACTTAATTTTGAAGAGAGTGACTCTGCCTAAGGGACTCCATCCTGTCACCTAGTTTCATGGCGAAAAATTTTGGCAGGACTCATTTCCAGTCGATTATCTGAAACATCATTTGTACGTATGACTAACAATGGCATCCAGAATAAACTTAATTAATAGAATTTTTTCAGCAATAAGAACTTGATTTACAGAACAGTGATCACCAGTAAGTGATCCATAAAATGTAAAATTAGATTAAATCGATTGTAAGGATGAGTACCGAGAATTTAATAATTTAATTAAGGTTCCTTCCGACCGTAGTTGCAACCCCGATGTGCTTGTCATGTCTGCCTAGAGTGATGACTCAATCGAGCTATGCCGACTGAAACACATATTCTTGTAGGTCTTACCATACTCGGAACACCTGTTAGATTAAAAGCAGCAACTTAAGATCATTCGTGATGAATACCTCAAAGAAATCAGTTAAAGACAAAAACGATCAGGGGGAATTCGGAAGATTGGCATTTCAGAGAACACAAACAACGGATGCACCGGCACTACTGCAAACGGCTATGAGACCTGTCACTCAAGGTCTCTAACTAACGATTACTATCTTCTGGAGGACCCCAACCAGGTAATCTACATTTACCTACATGACTCAATGCAGCTGTCAGTGGCTTCATGAATTTGTTCCATGATTTTGTTTGGCTGCACCTACCTTTCTTCCAACCTACTCCTACACTGCAAAAAATAGCTCGACCAGGCAGTCGGTCATTCGTAACACATGTCCCAACCACCTCAACGGATATCTTGCCTACGCAATACGTGACGCAGGTTGGAAATATCCAGTCGAGCCTTCTGTATCCACGCCGAGATTTCCTTATACACCAGGCAATCGGCATTGATGAGACTCCTAAGATAAGTGAAGCGGTCAACACCCAGAACTGCTTCACTCCTTATTACTAGTTCAGGTGCCGATAAAATCTAATCAAGAAGCTACATTTAGCATTTAGACGAGGAGAATCGCATCCCGAACATGCTTGCATTGTGGTTTAGGGTAGACAAGAGAATATGCATTTTGTCAGCGTCTTCACGAAGTAGAACTATGTCGTCAGCATATACGAAGTCGACAAGGCAGTCTCCTGGTAAGAAAGTTAGGAGCGGTAAAACCAAAACATCGCACAAATACATGAAGTCATTGAGAACTGGACTGAGCCGTGTTAGTAAATGTAGAGTGTATGGTAGGAGTCCGAGAGACGATCGCAACCGATGGTTAACTACTTTGAATGACATAGCTCAAAATCGTTTACAATATCGCAGGTTCATCCATTATTCGACTTCTCCCAAATTATTAGCTGGTGAATTCCTCGTGACGATTTACGCTCTTTTAAATTTATTTGCCTGGGCATATTTTTCAAATTACATCTTCGATTGCTAATTTTTGTGATTGCTGCCAGTACTGATACAAGCTCTACAACTGTGATTTGAACTGACAATTCCATCTATCTGTGCTAATGTATGTAGGCTACCTGGTTGGGGTCCGCGAGACAATAGTCACCGATGGTTAGAGACCTTGAATGACATGGCTCAGAATCGTTTGCAATGGCGCAGGTGCATTCACTCTTTGTGTTCTCTCTAATTCTAACCTTCTTCATTCCTCATAATCTCTACCTTTCTCCTTCTAAATTTATCTTACTGAATTATACTTCTCGAATCATATCTTCGCTCCCTAATCTTCTCCATTACTGCTAATACTTCTATTATTGCCATCACTCTTGGATTTGAACTGACAGTTGCGTCTCTGTGGTGATGGAGCGTGGCAACCTGAACTGATGTACTTACGTACGAAGTTCTGCGTTGTAACTGTCTGTCTGTCTGTGCTAACGTGGTATGTTAACTTGGACTGATGTACACAGGTACCAAGTTCTACGTTGTTTCTGACAGAATAACTGAGTTAAGGCTCCTGAGTTATGTCGCTCCTAAAGTACTTAACTGAAAATCTTACGAGTAACTACCAGTGAAATATAGCAAGAAGATTTACAAACACATCAATAGTTTCTGTGCAGTTATTACCTTTAAAGGTGAATTTACTAATTACATATGTTACTAGACACTTTCTCATTTTAAGCAACTATACAATACGATGAATGATACATGATGCGTATATCAGTAACTAAACACCAAAGAATTTGAAAAATCAAAATGATTTTTGGAAGCCTCATAGCTGGGCGCTAATTGGATTACTGATTTCGAATTTGTTCGAATACCCTTTGGATGATATAAACACCGATGTTGACTAAAAATCGAGTTTATTTAATTTAAAAAAGTACTTAAACAGCGAAGATACCATCCATAGACATATAAGAACCTAGACAGTAAAGACATTACTGCTAGCTATTAGCAAAATCATATACTGAGTGTTTATTTGTACAAAAACATGCGGCCCAATTCCGGTTACGAATATATGCCTTTACATAAAATAGTAACATCAGCGTTAGTTCAATCGATATGTCCATGAACAGCTAAATTATACAACAATGTCAAGAGAAACGTTATGATGAAAATTAGGAACCTGCTACAGGGACCAAAACAACATTGATTTCTGTCATACCAAATATAGTGGCTAGGGATCATGTCAAATAAATAAAGTTTAAACAAAGTAACAAAGACACCATGAACTCCATAGACCTGAATTGTAAATTCTGCCAAAACATAATGTCATGAAGACTAAAAGTAACAAGCATGGAAACCAATCAAGATTGCCTATAGGTTTACCTGAAGTGTTACAACACGGGAACGAGGGTCACGTATATTCGACGATGTGAATACGTAGGAGTGGTTAATTATTGTAACAGGGTAAAGCTTATTGATCGTTTCGTTCGAATTCAAGCCAGAAGGCCATGAGGTGCAAAACTCTTATGGGAAGATAAAAGGATTTTTAAACATACTTTTCAGTGTATCACAATGTTTTTTAATATGCAGAGGTGTGAGATGAAGAAAATTAGGGATCTTCATTAACTCAGCGTTTGCATACTTTTCAGGTGGCAAACCTCCGTTTTCTGACAAGTTCTGTGAGCATTACCTTTAAACTATATCATACAAACTTTACAATGTCCCTGACGAACTTTAAAGGGGACAACAGAGTGGTGAAATGTAGCAGCAGCCGGCCAGACATTTGTCCATTCAATTAAACTACGAAATTTTTCATGAAGGACAGGTGGTTTCTGAAATGAAACTCTTACAGAAAAAATAAAACACCAACTTCATTGAAAGGTAATGGGGCGTTCTCTCTAAACTTAAGATTAGTCAGTCCTCGAATTTCCAGAGGGAGGAACTCTGAAGAACAACTAGAATTGCTAGCTTTATTGCGACTGACTGTGGTGGCAAGTAAATTGGCACGGAAGACTAACACATGTCTGAAGAGCATAATGTAGCGCCCTAGTTACATAATGTGCAACAGATCCAATGTCCAATATCTGCTTCACGAGTGAGTATTAAACAATTGCTTTATTTGCGCTCAATTCTTGTTCGCGCGGTATGGTTCCAAGTGTTTGGTAGTGTCCAATCAATTGGGTTTAGCCACTCGACTGTTTAATTCCATTCACTTGCCAGTTGGTTGTGAGTTTGTATGTCCCGTGATTTGAGTGGATAAGTTTGTTTCACGCCAGCAGGGTTTCTAGATACCAGCAGCTATCACACTACCAGGCCTTAGATCAGTTAGTCACAATGTGAAGAATAAAAACGGTGAAATTCTAATGCTAATCAGAGGATTTCAGAACTAAGTAAATAAATAGATAATTTAGTCTATTAATTGGTAGTGATGATTGTAAGATAGGACCGAAGTGTAAGCGATAGGGAGGAATCAGAGGTAATAGGCGAGACAGATTGAGTTAGTGATTTGAGGAGATGGCAATAATAACGAATATCAAGTCTCGAGGCATGCATCAGGCACACCCTGGTTCGTTGATTTGTATTAAGTCATTAACCTAAACAGATGCTTGGGCTTTGCCTGTATTTTGGCAGCTAGCTTCATCTGAAAGCGTCTCATTTCAATTCAAACCACGGCATTGTATCTGTTTCCCAATGTCAAGTGAGAGTCATGGTCGGAAAACATCAGGAAAACCTCCCACTTGTACCAAACTCTTCATTCTGCCTGCAGCAAGCGTACAGTGCATCTCTTGACCCACGTCCATCTCTCTACTGCTATGTGACATGCCCGGGGAACATTGTGTAAGATAGCATTCGGAAAGATGTTTCTCACTGTTTGCCTGTGGCCCTTTTCTGTTAGCCTCCACCACAACTTTATCAGCACTCATAACTGTGTGTTTCGAATTTCCTTTTGTCAGTTTTACTGTTCTCACTTACACTCTATCGACTTACCATTGATCCCTTAGTGTTATCTATTGCTCCACTTTTGACCGTAATACTCTTTAAACTTCCTGCTTAAATGTCCCCTACTACACTCTAAATGTTGTTAGCTTGCTTGAAAATCCGCACTATTTCCTCATAACTGTTAACTGCATTGCATTGATGCCTAACCAATAGTTCATAAATTGTTACAGCCAGACATGTATTGTGAAAGGAACTTGCAGAAGTAGAGTTTCTGAACAGGATATGAGACATAAAGCACCAAGTACAACATAAAATAGTTTTTTTAATCATATAACATGAGTCTAACAACACAAAAGGAGGGAGGGTGGAGTTACTGAACATCAAACATTGATGGTGTGGGCGATGACTTCAAACCACCCATATTTGTGGGGCAGAACATCTTGTTTGCTTTCGGCTCTTTTGATTGATGAGGCGCATAATCAGTAACAGTGAGGTTGCTGTTATACGCTTGCTACTTCTGAGGCTCATGTTTCCAAAACTATGCTGGGGTCGCTATTCTGCCAAGACACCAGCAACATGCTTACTCAGGCGCTTACAGTATGATTTAGAGGCTGGTATTTAAAAAAAACAGTGAGACAGTAAAAACTTTTAATGATCAATGTTTTTTTACAAATTCTACTGTTTTAACCATACCATACCCTCATACCATCATTCCAGAACTCACATTCAACTAGCCAGGTCACGATCACATAGGGATCTAGCTACTCGACCCAAGCGAGCTCTATCTAGGCCAGGCCAAAAGGCTGCTACAGAAGCGAGTACTGATTTCACCGCGCTTTCCAGTACAGTTCCCGCCACTGCCAAGCCATTGGCATCTACTAGGGTTCTGGAATGGTGGTATGATCTCGAAACCTGGGCTGTCTGTGAATACAATAACTTCGATCCTTTGAAGCTGGAAAGCTGCTAAAGTCAAAATCTACATTCGAGTATGACGTGGAGTCAATTATATGTTTGTCCTCGAAAATATTTTGTCTGCTATTAGGGCGACCCGGGAGAGTTGCGTATCCTCGATCAGGGCCGTGATAGTAGGCTGTATGTGGGCTGGTAAAGCTTCGAGCCACAGTTCCTTAACTGTATTGGAATCAGCTGTTGAGTGTCCTGCCAAAGACAACAAGCGCGTGAGGTACTCGCTCGGTTTAGCATCACTCAGGGAGTGACGTGCTAATGATATCCTTATTCTTTCGTCCCTCGATGGGAAGAAGTTTCCGAGAGTCTCCTCCTTGATACGATCATAGACATATTAAGGTTAAGGACCTCATCACGGACAGCAGAAATATGATCCCCCGTTAGAGTCTGCATAGCGTGGTTTGTAGTGCGGCGAACCTTGAACTGAGCCTCCAGTACCGCGAACCAGACTTCTAGATCGTGGGGGATGAAAGAGACAGGTAGAAAATTAATAACATGTACATCGCAGTCTTTTGTTTTATCACTATTCTTATAGCTATTCTCCATTTCGAAAAGTTTTTGTAGGTATAATCTATATTAAAAAATATCAATGATGAAAATGCAACCATAATGGAGATAGAAATAATAAACTCACAGTAAGTGGCTTCTTTGAAAGAAACGTCAGCAGATGAGTTGAGTGTTCAAATTCGTGGTTCACCAGTTGCATCGGGTAGAGTCACGGTTGGCTATGATCACTACTACAGGCCAACTACATTCCAGTTGTCTGTGAAACCAAAACCAAGGAGAAGTTTGGATGTAGGAATGAATATGTATATATGTTGGCAAACTCGTGGTGTCAAAATAATACCGAGATCGTAATGCAGAATTCAGGCGTGCGTACAGTGAGCGGGATAAAGGCCATATTAGCGGAAAGTGGGTCAATCCAGTCAAGTTAAACAAATAGTACGGCAAAACAATAACCCGTAGAATTTGTTGTAATAACAAACGTTTCTATTGGACCAGTCGTGTTCACTTCATAAAAGTGGAGTCACTACAGGTAAACAATCTTATGAATGGAGGGGATTCAAGAGGACTAAATTGTTATAAATTACGTCGACTTACAGGATTTAATAATGAAGGCACGGGGATCTGATGCCTTGGCGATATTTCATTTACTACATTTTCAACGCTAAAGCTCAAGTCACGAGTTAGCGCTTTTCCAATATAACTGTTCAGAGCATCTTCCAGATCTTCGCAGGGAATATGTTTAGATACTGTGAGAGCCGACCATATCAGTGAAAGAACAACAAGGAGGCCGAATAGAGCTAACACCAATGCTACCAATTCTCACAATATAACAACTAGGGAAATAGAAGGGTTAATAATCCCGGGTTAGTGTTGAGTCAAAAATCCCAGTTTCCAGCAACGAGAGCGTGAAAAACCTATAGATACTACTCGATAGTGAACCTCGGAGTAATGTTTTTTGCTTAAGTCACTACATACAAATATCTGCGCTGGGTCTAAAACAAAGAAACCGGGATAACGATCACCCAGATTCCTTCTCTCACTAAGATTAATAGACAAACATAACGAATAAAAGAAGGCGTCCTAAAATTCTAATTATGCATCCTATTGTTCAGAAAGAACACTTGAATGATAATACTATCGCCTGTTAGTTTCCGGTTAACATCAGATACTCTTTCTTTGAATATAATTTATGTATCGGCTGGGTTAACTGTCAATGTATTGGTGAAGTAACGAAACGCCAATATTGGACCATGGTGCTAAGTATGTCACCGCTGTCCGTGACGTGAGCTTTCAGGACACGTAACTCTTCCGATGCATAAGGGTACGTAAGACAGGAGGTGGAGTGACTACATATATTAACAGCCATTCCAAAGCCTCATGACTACGAGGCACCAAACTAACTGGTTTGACAGCGTCAAGCAGGTGTTGCTTCCAAACGAATAGCACAAAATCCTTGATCGGATAGATTTTACACCACTTCCCAATTACTAAGGCCTAGAAATATAGGTTGATTGAGGCGATTAGCAACTATCGATCCCCGGGTTCGATCAAATACTCTTAGTCGGAGACTTCAACTTTCTATCCCTAAATCTCAGAAAATGGGAAACAAATACCACAGTCTAGTCCCGAAAGCGAATTGTTACAGCATTAGATGTCTGGGACTAATTGAGCATGTGTGTGATGCCACTGGAAGTAATGAGGATATAAAACCCTCAGACTTGGACTAATTGTTAACAAATGATCGACTACTGGTTGACGATGTTTGTAATATATTTACTTAGAAAATTCAACTTTAAAGGTAATAACTGCACAGAAACTATTGATGTGTTTGTAAATCTTCTTGCTATATTTCACTGGTAGTTACTCGTAAGATTTTCAGTTAAGTACTTTAGGAGCGACATAACTCAGGAGCCTTAACTCAGTTATTCTGTCAGAAACAACGTAGAACTTGGTACCTGTGTACATCAGTCCAAGTTAACATACCACGTTAGCACAGACAGACAGACAGTTACAACGCAGAACTTCGTACGTAAGTACATCAGTTCAGGTTGCCACGCTCCATCACCACAGAGACGCAACTGTCAGTTCAAATCCAAGAGTGATGGCAATAATAGAAGTATTAGCAGTAATGGAGAAGATTAGGGAGCGAAGATATGATTCGAGAAGTATAATTCAGTAAGATAAATTTAGAAGGAGAAAGGTAGAGATTATGAGGAATGAAGAAGGTTAGAATTAGAGAGAACACAAAGAGTGAATGCACCTGCGCCATTGCAAACGATTCTGAGCCATGTCATTCAAGGTCTCTAACCATCGGTGACTATTGTCTCGCGGACCCCAACCAGGTAGCCTACATACATTAGCACAGATAGATGGAATTGTCAGTTCAAATCACAGTTGTAGAGCTTGTATCAGTACTGGCAGCAATCACAAAAATTAGCAATCGAAGATGTAATTTGAAAAATATGCCCAGGCAAATAAATTTAAAAGAGCGTAAATCGTCACGAGGAATTCACCAGCTAATAATTTGGGAGAAGTCGAATAATGGATGAACCTGCGATATTGTAAACGATTTTGAGCTATGTCATTCAAAGTAGTTAACCATCGGTTGCGATCGTCTCTCGG